TGTACTGTTACACCACTGTCCCAGGTTAGGGGGAGGTTTGGGATCCCGCTAACATGTTTAACCCCGCCACATTCTGTATGTATGTGCCTGTCCCAAGTCAGGAGCCTGTAATTCAGTGGTTGTCGTTTGTTTATGTGTTACATATTAGTTTTTCGTTCATTTTTTGTACATAAATTAGGCCGTTAGTTTTCTCGTTTGAATTGTTTTACATTGTCATTTCGTGGCCTTTTATAGCTGACTGTGCGGTATGGGCTTTGCTCATTGTTGAAGGCCGTACGGTGACCTATAGTTGTTAATTTCTGTGTCATTTGGTCTCTTGTTGAGAGTTGTCTCATTGGCAATCATACCACATCTTCTTTTTTATATTTACGCCAGTCCAGTATGGAGATGCTGCTTCTCATCTCCTGCACATTGATTAAGACTGTATTCTCTTGTGTGTTCAATTTAGTGCAATGTATTACTGTGTTAGTGCTCTGTTTTAATGTCAATTTAGTTTACTTTTCTGTGCTTTGTTTCAATGAATATGTAGTGTAACTCAAAATTTAGTGCTTTGTTTCAAAAAATGATTACTACAATTTTAATATATTTATATTTCAATTGATATTATTTACTTGTATATATTAATGTTTTCACCTAAATAATTTCAATTGCTTGTGAATAACATTGTGCCTATAAATTCATATTGTGCTTTTGAATATTATTTACACACAATGTGCTATGAAATTATTAAATAAAATATTGTAATATAAACTATTCTTTTTCTTTATTTTCCACAAGATTTACCTGGATTTACCTTGGTTCATTAGTTTAGTGTTGTAACAACATAATCCTACATAATCCCATTGTTTACATAAAAATTCTGGGAACTCCAACATAAAATTTTACTATTTTACCTATAAAATTCAAAATGTAGGAATAGCCAGAATAAACCGTTCTCAGTGGTATGCAATTTTTCTCGAGTAAGGATTTAAATGTCACTTTTTCATATCAATATTTTTCACGACTTATCTCTTTTGCCAAAACATTTCCTTTGCATTCTTAAGCGCTAAAACCAAGTTATATAACTGAAAGGCAAATCTGAGCATACTTTAATTCCGTAATGTAAAATTTAAAGTTCACGGAAAGCCTTCGTAATTAAAATCCTACAAAAAACATTTGAAACATGGAACTATATAGCAAATGAAATTGTTTTTCTTAACTTTAAATTTCTAATTCTATGTAACTTGCTGAAGAGTAAATATTAACACTTTTACAGTACCAATTAAATATATTTGTATTAGGAAGACAATTTTTATCCGGATATAAATATAGATTCCACCACTGTATCAAGTGTGTTACGATATTTCTCCACTCAAAACGTAATACACGAGTTAGAGTGGTGGAATCTGTTTTTCTTATGATTTTTAGACAATATCTAATCAAAGTTTATTCTTCCTTTTTCAAAGATTTGCAGAAAGTTAAGTTCTTTTTATGCGACGTCATCAGGTATGGTCGCCTTTTTTCATGACTTCACAATAGAAAATTCAGATTAAACCAAGAAAATTTGACGTCATAAATGAATTTCGACCAATCATTTCCCGAGAAAAAATTTTTCTCTAGAGGTGAAAAATATTTTTTCTCACACCGATCGAGAAATGTGAAAATTAGAGAATGGTCCTCTTAAAACACTATCAGTTTACCTTTATTATTATTATTGAAATGAGGAGCTATTTTCTGGCCCTTGAAATGGCAAAAATAGTAAAACTATTCAAGCCTTTCAAAATAATTTATAGAATACATGAACAGTTTGATAAAATATGAACACTTAAGTGTAAATGTGTCACTTGACTGTATAATGCGATGTCACCATGATCTCATAATCATGTAGAAATTGACATGTTGTGCCTAAAAGGGCAATTTTACGCATAGCTTTTTGAAAAAAATTGATAATAGCCAAGGTTTTGCACAAAAAGATATTTTAACCACATCAGCTTCTTTGTAAAATGCATCTTGTTACAAAAGAGTAAAATAACAAAAATACCGAACTCCAAGGAAAATTCAAAACGGAAAGTCCTTTATCAAATTGCAAAATCAAAAGCTCAAACACATTAAACGAATGGAAAACAACTGTCATATTCCTGACTTGGTACAGGCATTTCCTTATGTAGAAAATGGCGGATTAAACCTGGTTTTATAGCTAACTAAACCTCTCACTTGTATGACATCCCATAAAATTCCATTCAGTTATATTAAAATCAATGTGTGAACAAAACAAACAGACATTATATGAAAAAATGTCAAAAATAGGGGTACAGCAGTCAACATTGCGTTATAATTTTAATTACTATAAAACAAACAAAAGATATTAAAAAATCAATTACAATATTCTAAAATGAGGCCAGTGTGGTGGTTTTTGCAGTTTTGCAATAAATTCAAGAAGTTTGAAGCCCTAATGCAAACTTGAGGATGCAAATATTTAAAGATAAAACGTAGAGACTCGTATAATAATGCTATCCGGCAATGCGTATCTTGGATTATGCGATATACCGGGTGCCTCCTTACCCTATGCTGACAGATTTTTACGGATCAACAGTATCTACGGTACGGTGTATAATAGACACCATGCCTACCGCAAGCTCTGAAACCCATGAATACTCGTTGCCATCCAGCAATAATGGGTTTCTTCTAACATTACATTTCACATACTCGTGGTTTATATAGTGATATTTACATTTTGCATGTGGATTTTCTTCAGTATATAGTATCGAAAAGTCAGTTGTGCAGTCACTTTGACGTCAAAAACATTTTGAAATTGACATATTTTACAGAAAATTACCATTTTATGCATAGCTTTTTGGTAAAGTTGGTTATAAGCCAAGGCCTTACTAAAAAAAAATAATTTCTCATTAACGTCATCGTTCAAAATAATTGGTAGCAAATAATCTTTTCGGGAAAAGCATTGGGTCATATTTAGGTATTTTGAAATGATTGTATCCCCGAATAAGGCTATTATGACAGATTTTGCATGAAATGCCAGAAATTTGAATGTAATTGTGTGTTTTTTTGCTGTGCATGTACTGATTTTGTTTCATGGATGGATACCCCATATCCTTTGTTTTTTCTATTAGGACATAATAAAAAAAACTACTGATATATGACAAACTTATTTCTTGTGAATACATGAAAAATGTTATTTGATGGATGTATTATTTTTTTTTTTTTTCGAATTCTTGTGGACCATAAATTGGCCTTCCGCCTTTTAACTTTGAAGTGGAATTAAACATATATTCTTACAGGAAGCCATTGATTTCTGTAAATAAATTTTAGAGTACGTGTACAGCATAATTGAAAATAATAATGTATTACAAAAACAATTTACTGATTTACTCAAAAATAAAAGAAACTGTTTATTTTAGAAAACAAGATGTCCATAGATACTGTCCACATCTGTGAAAACCTTTTTTCTTTTAACAATTGACAATCTAGGGTTATTTGGTACGGGGACCGCACGATCAATATAATTACCTTCTCTTTAAATTAATAAATTGGTTTCCAAACTGTACTTCTGTGAAAGAAGCTGAACGTGAGATCTTTCTTTTATACAAGAATTTTGGTGACCTCGAAATGCCTTGTTCTTTATTTGCAGGATACTATTGCTACACATGTTCTGCAGAGTCATATTTTGATGATGTTATAGTTCATTTATCACACTTTCTAAAACACTTCTTTTCAGGTTTTTTTCGAAATGTCACCTCAAATATCCACAGGTATAAAAGATCCCAGCAAGCCTTCTGTGCAACAAGATTAGAACCACAGTGTTGTCTTGGAACAAATTGTTGTAGTCCAGACTTTGAAGGGTGTTGTTGTGATGAAGCCTGTGTATGGTTAGGTGACTGTTGTCCTGATTACATAAGTACTTGTCAGGCAGGTAGGCAATGTTCAACATGATGAATCAATATACAAATTATACAATTCATATATATTTTAGTAAAATAGGTTTATCATTCCGTATATTCAAATCAAACATAAATATACAGATTTTTGAAGAATTCATCTTATTTAATTGACATCCATCCGTAGTCGGTTTCTGAGACGCTATACTTACAAGTGGACATACATTCAAAAAGCATGGTTACTTTGAAAAAATTCTCGAAAGCCAATGAACTATCTCTGGGTTTCTATCTTTATTTGTAACATGAATGGTAACTTTTTCCTTTGATCCTTTTGGGTTAACTTCTGTTATTTCTAGAGGAGTGCATTAACTGAATGATTTTTTTTAGTTATTTCACTTTCAAATCCCGCCTTTGACCGCTTATCATAGGAAAAGCATCCATCTCATAAGTTGTTATTGCACAGTCTGGCTCCGCCTCCATAGCCTAATAAACTATGAAATCAACGACCATAAAATATCCAATAAATTTCTATAAAATATATACACAACAATTGATCAAAACATAAATTCGGGAAAAGGTTTGGGGGGGGGGGGGGGGGGGGGGGCTTAAACTAACACTTTTCTAGTCAAACTTGCCAAACTTATCCTAAATAACAAATGGTTCCATACACTTGATGCAAATGAAAGCTAGAGGAGAGTAACAAACAGGAATAACGTGGTCTCTAAACGAAGAGGCGATATTGATAAATTGGTTGACACTTGTTTTAGCGTGTAATACTCTGACATGTTCTTTCCATTTTTCCTCTGTCGACTTATAATTGTTATTGGCTCCTTTTACCTAAAACTAAAATAATTGAAGTATAACTCCACAAAAACCACATCTTGTTTCTTATTATTTGTTTTACCAATCTCATTGCACGTCAATCAAAAATAGAAAATAATGTAGCTTGACTCCCTCAAAAGTTCCTAGTATTTCCACGACTCATAGTAAGATTTTGTAGTATTCGGTCTGGGTTTGAATATCTTATACAAACAAGATCGATTGTGATAATTTTGTAAAAAAAAATGCCTGGCTCTTTTCATAACACATTATAGTTAATATATATTTTTTTTTATTTTTATTTTATAGGGCCGTGTAACCAGTACACCCTCATTGAAAATGAAGAAAAGAGGTCTGCGGGATATATTACGCATATTTCAAAAGATATACCCATCAGTGATGAATTATTAAATGAAACATGGTACAGAGTAATAAGTGACAATGGAGAAATAATGCCTACATATCCTCCTGGTACATTGCATTGTGGTACAATTAACCCAATCTGGCTAAATGGTTAGTGTAGTGTTGTTTCGAGGTCTAGTTGTACTAAATTTGCGAAAGAAAAAACTTTATCTGATTACCTTCTTACTTTTAATTTACACTTTGCATGGTAATGAAATATATTATCACGGAGCAATTGTCTTCCTTTTTTCATAGGAAAGTAGATTTTACTTAATTTAAAAATGGTTAATCTCAAAACAAACAACACCATAGAAAAATACTTTTTGATAAGTTTTAACGCATTTCTGAATATGTTTTCCCAAATTTAACACGCCTTTTCTTAAACACATACAATATTATGATTTTTTCAGGCTCGTTGCCAAACGAAGGGGAAGAAAATGTGACACTAGTTGCTTGTAAGCAGACACAAAACGACGTTTGTGAAGAAGAAATCGACATAAAAATTATGAACTGTTCTGGGGGATTTTATGTTTACTATTTACCTAATACGACGACAAACTCAGCCTATTGCTTTGGTAATTAATACGAACTTATAAGTTCGGAGATTGTTTCCTTGTGGAACAGAATTTTCTTAAAATCCAATAAACAACCGTTACCAACTGTAAATAGAAATTCATGCCTGGTTTCAAATATTCGATTTAAAAGTTTAAACGACCTTAGGTTTAGTATATTTTTTTATAAAGAAATGATTTTCAATCAAACCCCACGAAGAAATAATGAAATGTATATCTTTCCTATTTTGACTTACTGAATAGAGATATTTATTTTGCAAGAACTATAGAAACTAATCAGGTTAGATTATATATTTTATGTATAAAGGTCAATGTGATCTATAAATCTTTTTTAAAAATCCGGAAGAAGATTCCAATGTATGGAGTCTCTACACCAACATTAAAGCCTTCTTTAATTGTGTGACTTCGAGCGGTTAATTTGCCGACTTATGTTTCAAATTGTATGGTAGCGTCTTATGTCAGATCAAATAGTGATACTCAAAGAAAAGCAAAAAATGTTTGAGCTATTTAAAATATTTGATGTTGTCTAAGTGAAAAGCTGTATTGTCAAAAGGGCATTAGCTGTCAAATTCAAGTTCACCGATTTGACTCAAATTCTCATATTTTATTTATAACATACTAAAACGAATATCAAAATTACAAAAAGTACAAAAGAAACAATTAACAATTCATAGGCTCGCTGTAATATTTCAACATTTTGTATGTATTTTTGACCAGAAGCCATCTAACTTTCCATCGCGATGACCTTCTAAGACTGCCGACGGTCATATAACCCGATATAAGCATAAATATGAATAGATAGCGAACACGTTTATTGGATTTTTCAAGGTCAGTTTGAATTCATGTTATAGGTTAAAAATATATTTAAGCACCGTTGTACCTGTATAAGACAGATTTTTGTAGGCGAGATCAGTAAACGAAATGTTTATTCCTGGTGGCTCATTGATTCACTTTTCAATGTGACATTCTTTTCTTTTGAATAAACAAGCCACATGATGAACACATGCGTACCCATCTCCTCTAAAGGTCAAATTAAATGGTTGCATGAATACTGATTCAAATGAGTTCAATTATTGACTTGCATGTCAATAATACACCAGTGATGTTTTGTTTAGCTTATTTTGACAAAATTGAATATTATTTCGTTATTCCGCTTTTATAAATTAAAAAAAAATCATATTCTATTTTTTGGTCGAATTCGTAGCTAATGCCTCTTAATAATTACTAGGACGTAAATATTTAACAAAAAGTTTATTATGTTACAAACCTAAGGGTGCAACCACTTAAACCTTTTAAGCAAAGTTATTTTATTTGGTCGTGACTATTCTTTTATCACCATTTTGGTAACAAAAATCTCTATTGATTCATTCATATTATATATTTAGCTCTCCCAAGTTGGTGTTCTTGATAATGGTAAGTTTAGAAATGCGTATCAAAGGCATCAAATTTGTTCTGTTAATGTCGATGGCATATTTATTGTTGTGTACAATATTGCATGAGGGAACATACCTGACATAAATATCACTGTTCCATAATACAACACAGTTTTAGACAATGTTTTCTTCAGTTCTTTAGTCTTCTCTGTTAACATTACTGTATATCATTATATAATTTACATCGAAAAACTATATACAAAAGATTATATAAACAAACATGCCATAAATTATCATACAGAACATATACTAAGATGGACTACTGTAACACATGTTTATAATAATATCGACAAAAACACCAATCTGCTATGTCCTAAATCCATTAAAAAAATACAGCACAGAATTTTAAATGATTTATTCGAAAATAATTTGATCCCAAAGTACGGCATCAACTGAATCTTTTGAAGGCAGTTCTGCTATAACGACCATTGAGAAATAATGTCCACAAGACGTCCCTTTTAATGTAATAAAGTCTAAACAAATAAATCTTTATATAATAAATCATCTACTTTTATAAGATTTAATACATTTTTAGATAATAGGTGAATTATCGATTCTTTCTTGTCTTGGTTTCGAAATCTACTTATAGTCACATCCGTGGTCCTATAAACCAACAAAGACATAAATCACCGAAACAATGATAATAACGGGTAGTGTGATTACAGAAAAAATATTAGCGATAACCTTACTTGTATTCTTAGTTATGATTTACTTGTCATTTGAATTATCAGATATAACCCAAATATAAACCTTAATGGGTAATGGTCGTCAAGTTCAAAATCTATCATTGGATTGCCCAGATTTATACATTGAAATAATAGTGAATTTAGTCGTCAGATTTTTAGAACCAATATAAGAAATTGCCATAAAAGTGTTAACCATTGTTATCTAATAATGCATATCAATTGGTAAAATTAAGAACTTGCAATTTTTTTGTAGGAGATGGCCCCGTTCTCTGTGACGATGGTTTGTCATCTGAATCCGGATATTATCCAGGGTGCACATGTATGTATAAATATTTTTTTTTATCATAACTTACTGCATATTTAAATTGCAAGATTTTGATCACCAACATAAGTTTGAACTAAGTGTAAATGTAATGCTGCAAACGGATAATACATGATAACGGACTGATGTTGTATGACCTGCATTGGCATTATGAACTTCCAAAATCATCACTTTTTCAAAATGAATGGCATTTCCTTTCCGAGATATAACTTGAAAGATCGTAGTCTGATTGTGGACAACTTTTCAAAACAGCAAAAAATGTTTATTCAATACTCTTGCTATTGCGTTTCATATACATGTAATAGTTCATTGCCATTTATTTAACAAAAATAGGGTAACATAAAGAACCCTCCAATTACAGTTATTTTGGTTAAATAAAGTAATGAAAGTACAATTCTTCAGATGAAAGTATCTAAGTAATTATTGGTTTGATAATGTAAGGGTTCTACATGGAAAAGCAGGAGGATAAGAGTTGCCTCTCTTTGTTCGTATCAACATTTTATCATGTGTAAAATAGAATTTGTAATAAAAGATAAAAGATAAAATATAAATATTTTATCAACTAGATTTGGCTAAATTGTGACAGTTGTATAGTTTATCCATATAAAAAAACATTTACCATATCTACTGACCCAGCAAAATAGTATCTTAACACCATAGTTAATTTTTGACAAAATATAATAGAGAATGTACATGCATACATATATATATGATACTATTTATCACAATTAGTACAACACAATCATATGTAACAATGAACATCCAACATTGAATAGACCCTGCTTTGTACAATGTAGCATGTTATAAAATATAAATGAATGACCAGAGTTTGTATATATGTGCTGATTGCCATTTTATTTTGGTGTACATTTAGGTTATCTCCCTCAATTCGAAATTTTGGCCTGCATCTCATTTGGATTTATTATGTCTGCTTTTTTATATAGGTATTTGTGTCAACAGATTTATGTGTTACTATTGTGTCAAAGTGATGTTGCATCATTGTGTACTAGTATATTATTGTCTCTTATGTTCCTGTTCCAGTGAATATACATGTATATTCCACAAAGTGTTTTGTCTTGAGTTGGTTTGTTAAATATTGAAGGTTGTATCTACGGTAAAATGATTCGTATTATATATATTATATACAAAAAGTATGTACTGTAAATGCTAATATGTAACCTCTTATACTTTTACATTTATATTAAAATCTACATTGCATTCATATAAGCACATAAAAATGAAGCGATCATATAAACTTTTTTCAAATTTCCTAAGGGGTCCAAGCATACATTAAATGTAAAACTTACAAGTATGAATAAAAATGTACAGTAACATTTAAAGAAATTTATGTCATTGACTGCTAAAAAAATTAACTAATAGTTGAGCAAATTTTGAAAATAAATATAAATAAATTGATCAACTTTAACTTTCGGATAAGATCTTTATGATCTTGTAGAATAGTTAGGTCTTTCCACTTTTCTGTGGAAAGACCTATTGTATTTGTTCTGATTATTATTTTTTTTTTTCCCCGCTAAATTTTGTTTTTGCGATAAATGTTTGTTTCGCAATATGTCGCTTAGATATTTCTCATATTGTATCGTATAGTTTATACGCTTTTAAATTTCACCCTGCTAAGCCGAACCATCTGTGTGCATCTCCTTCGTAACAAAAAAAGATATCGACAAAGTTCTTTTTACAAATTGTTGGATATATCCTCAGAAATTTTGGGCTAATTTGGATCGAAGCGATTCGATGAAATTTTATAGGAGTTATCTACCTTTACAAAATAAATTTGTCGGTATGTGTTTTCAACTCATCAACCGTTAACCGTATAACCCTGGAATCTTTTTATTTGAGGCTCCTAGGTCCTAACTTAGAAAATGAGGTCAAGGTCAAAGGTCAAGGTCAAGTTCTCAATGTTGACTTTTGCTTGTTTTTGCATTTTCTCCTACACTTTGAAAGATACATATATAAGAACAAGTGCAAAATGTCTGCTTTTATGTAATGAAGATATGTTACATTAGGTCTGATACAATTTAATGGCATCTTATAGGAGTTAGTGCCCCTGAAATGTCTTAATATAAGGTTATTTGATTATTACTTCAACTAAGTTCATTATAAAGCCATATGACCTTGTACAAAAGGTTAGGTGACATATGACCTTGAAAAATGAAAACCGGAAGTGACCTTGAGAAAACCGGAAGTAGTCATTTTTGCACTTTTTTCATATAAAAGTACTCAGAATCCATATATTTTGTAATTTAATTACATTTACTTATCACTTAAGACTAGAAGTGGCTTTCTGTAAACCGGAAGTGGTCAATTACATCCGGGTTTACAGGCAAAAGTATATAGAAACTATATATTTTTGGAATCAGTGTGAAAGAAGCTATCATATGAGACCGGAAGTAACATCCACTTAACCGGAAGTAGCACATTATCTCCTTTAGTTCACTTTAAAGCAGATCAAAACCATTTATTTATCGCATCAGTCTGAGGAAACTAGCTTCTTTGATGTGGAAAGACCTTCAATTGTTCTCTGAACAAATGGTTTTTAATTCTTTTTGGTTTAGGTAGAGTAAATTTGTGAGTATGGTATAAACGAAAATCTTCTTCAAATTTGTTAAACATTTAGTAGTTAAAATTGTCAGGAGCTAACAAAAATATATCAAAAGGCCAAAATTACATCAAAAACTTATATATTCATAAACATATTTTCACAAAAAGTTTTATAAAAGTTTATTTTACAATAATGACTGTTTAACTGAACACTTCATAGTACTGTACTGATTATGTTAAGCTGGATCTTTTGTCCAAAGCTACCAATAGAAAGTTGGCCACCTCACAAATTGTGTCTGGTGTTTACAAACAGTAATTTAAACAGTTCATCCTCATAAAGTTAATGCGTATGTATGTTCTTGCCTTCAACTGTAGAAATCAGGGTTTGTCCCTCGGTGGAATAGGCAGGACACTGAATCAAAAGATGCATCTCGTTCTCAACAGCTCGATTAGTGCATGCTTTGCAGAGTCTTTCTGATATAGGTTTTTGGCGGTAACGACCTACATTTTGTTTGTATTTCTATTTCTATAGAAAATGTACCACTTTTGAGTTTTGAAATAACAGATCGTTGCTTTGATAACATAGTTTTGTTTATGATTTTTTCCTGATAGTGACTTTCTTTAATTTTGATATATGTCCTAAGTTTTGGCATCCCGTTCACATTAGTTTTCCATTTCTCTGACCCTATATCTTTTAGCTTTTTCTTAACAATGTCTATAAAAGCTGTCACTCCTAGACTAATTGTACTACTTTCTTGATAGTATTGTGATAGGTCTCATTTGTCCAAAATTGCCTTCACTTCAAATGACCAGCTATTCCTGTGACTATTTTGTTTGTCCCATAAAAATATCTTTTTCGGTAATCGGCTTTCTAGCATTCTTATAATTTTCAACCATAATCGTATCATGTTAATTTGACGTCTAATTTGCACGTCAAACCAGCATGTTTCTCCTATAAGATAGGGTAAGGGTGACCTTTTTCCGACTCCCAATAATGTTCTTATTGCTATACATTGTAGTTTGTCAGTAAGGTCCATATTTTTGTATCCCCACACATATATATATATATAATTCGTCTCAAATTTAGCCCAGCAATGTCAGCAAATTTTTGTTCTTTCCTCAGCGGGATTCGAACCCCTGCTTCTGTGACATCGTGATAACACCGCCTGCACTGTGTCTTACGCACTAGACCACTCGAGCAACTAGGCTATAAAATATAGCTTTCGATAGTCGAGTTATGCCTTTCCTCGTCGGCTTTATCTAGGGTTGTAACACAGTACATGATGTAAAGTGGCAAGTAGGATGGTGTTTCTTTCAAATCAGCTATGTTTTGTCGGTCGTAAAGGATGATTATGTAATTACCATGCCGTCACATCAAATTATAATTCTGTTATAAACGTCTAAACATTCGACAACTTTACGACAGACGTTCTCCATCGGATAATCCGTGGTTATACAGGACTCACAGCATAATATATATATAATTCGTCTCAAATTTAGCCCAACAATGTTAGATCTGCAAATTTGCGTTATCATTGCAGTTGCCACGATGTCACATAAGCAGGGGTTCGAATCTCTCTGAGGGAAGAAAAATAATTTTCTGACGCAACACAATGACAAAATAACTATAAAAAATACAAAACCTCCTTAGTGACAAAAAACGATATTGCCAAGATCTTTAATTTCACTTACAGATATATTGATGACATGTCACTCAGTAACCGCCGTTTCAGGGATTTTATGTATCTCATATATCCAAGTGAACTTGACATTTAGATAAAATACAAACCCTGGAAGATCTCTTTTACATTTGGATCGTTTTCTTCATAGTGACACAGATGAGTGACTTCAAAAAAGTATCTATTACAAACCTGACAATTTCATCTTTCCCATTTTCAACGACCAATGTCTTACTTGTTAGCAGTAACATACCCTCTGTTGTATTGTATGTCTTTACAAATCTTAAATCATATTTTATGTGCGTGCATGTTCAGATTATACAGCCTTCATTTACAGGGGTGTACTCCTGATGAAAAACTGCTACATGTAATGAGATCAATGTTTAAAATCGACGGTTTAAAAATTTTACGTTTATCATCACACATTGGTTGACCGATATGATGTTCCTATGTTTCAAATCACACGAGACATGTTTCAGTCATTAGTTACAAAATTCGTCTGATCTGTATATTAACCTATCGTGTCCAGTTCCCAATTGTAACATTTCGACTAAGTTTTGATTTGTATAGCGGATGATATATTCATAACAGGAGGCGATTATCCTTTCGACGTCCACAGTCTTGATCCGTTTGAAAGTCATGTGATACCCCCATTTTTTATATTGATTTTTTTTAAATTCTTAATGGATTAACGAGACTTGAACATCGGTACACTACTGTTGTCCATAAGCTAACCTGTATTAAGATGACGTCATGATCACATATTTTGACTTTAAAACATTAAGTATATAAGGATAGGTTTTTTTTTCGATGCGACTCTCGTTTACAGCAACCTCAACTGAATTTTCACAAGTTTGTTGCAGATCCTTCATTGCTAAAATCGTTGTACGTCTGTTTTGAAAAGACAATCATGTTCTTTGTTACATTGATAGGGACATAATGTTTTCCGGTCTGTACGTACGGCTGTTAGTCTCTCCATTCCGTAAAAGGTTATTTTTTTGGTTTAAGGTAGGTTACAGTATTGGTTTAGAGGGGGCTATAGTTCTGGTTTGGTTTAAGGTAGTTTTTTGTCACATCAACATAAAACTTAGTACACACATTAATTATAATATTAATCATCAATAAATGTGCCAAATTTTGGTTTTAACCCAGATTTTTGCGGTGCACTGTCAATGGAAATGTGTATATCAGGTTACAGTTTTGTGGAAGATAGGTTAAAACTGAGAGTTAAGATAGTTTGTTGTAATATCATCACTAAACCTAGTGCACTTGTTCATAATGAAGAGAATTGATTATTATATATACAAAACTAGGTTTTGACCGAGATTTTGCGGTTTGTTAACATTAAATGTGTTAGTGCATATTAGGTTAAAGGTTTGATTTGGTAGGTGAAAACTTTTGTTTAATTAGCTAGTTTGCGGTCATGTTAATATTTAAGTCAGTACGCATGTTCACTGTTAAGTGAACTGTTTAATTCATTTGTAAAATTAGGATTTAACCTAGATTTTAGGTTCACTGAAGATCAAAATGTGGTAGTTCGAGCGGAGTATTGTGTCCTATGAAAACATATTAAACGATTATTTGTTGTAAACCCGATGTCCTTTTGATGTGTCTTGATTCCTAGTACATATATCAGGCCTCTTGTCTGATTCGTCCCGATGGACAGGATTTTGTTCTGCTTTATAGCTACAAATGTGATGATTGATATCAGTTTTTTTGTTGGTTGTCTATGGTTGAAAAGAAAGCATCATATTCAGTAATTATATTATGGGCGTTTCAATTTTCAACTCCAAGTCAGCAGTGGTCATATTTAATAATTTCTCGATAGGTACATCAAGCAAATGTAATTTTGAACTAGACGGGACAAGCGTTTTAAATTCCTTGAATTATCTGAGTAATTTTTTACCCTGTTTCTTATTCTTTACTTCTTGCATCAACCATACACAAAGTGAATGAAGAAATCTTACAATCTTTAAACAATACATAAAAAGGAGATGGTATGAAAATGCCATTTTTGGCCCCTGAATTCGAAAATAGAAAATAATTATAAATCTGCAAAATAACAGACTTCAGATGTTCATAAGATATAAAAGAGAGGCGAAAGATACCAAAGGGACATTCAAACTCATAAGTCGAAAATAAACTGACAACGCCATGGCTAAAAAAGAAAAAGACCAACGGACACACAACAGTACATGAAACACAACATAGACTAAAGACTGAGCAACACGAACCCCACCAAAAAGTGGGTGTGATCTCAGGTGCTAATATAAATTAGACTGTCAATCATTAGAACATGTTTTTTTTTTCATATTTACATCAGGGTTTCTAACGTCTAGCTATTTTAATAAAACTGCAAACAAAGCGAAAATAGTGTAGGCTGCACCAAAAAAAGATATTTTTTACAAGATGTGTTTAACTTCGATCTAAAAGTAAAATATATCTTCGGGTAAGGCATTGTTCGAATCTATTTGACCCAAAACTACGTTTAAAATAACATTTTTGGTCAAATATTATGACGTCATAGCGACATAACAAGTGACCTCTCTGCTCTAAAGTTTTATGGTTACATCAACCTTCTTATTTGTCAATGAAATTGACATAACATTGAAAGGCTTATAATTTTACTTTTTTTTTTAAACTTCAGGTGCTAAACAATGGATCTTATCAGGGTTTCCTCTGGGTCAATTTTCTTTTTCGCCAACTAAAATAAGAATATGTTTCGTTTGAAATTCTTTCAACAACAAAAAAGAAAACTCAGTTTGCCACATTTTTATTATAATTCTACATATCTATTTTTTAAATCTTCATTGTAATGAATAAAGTATGTCAATAATAATAACAAACATTTCCTTTTAAAAAGATACTGTAAAATTGCAATATAGATCATGAAATTATCATTTTGGACTTCACATCTTTAAAAAATTATCGTATAATTCCTGTCTAGTTGAAGGATAAAGACTAAAGTCAGAGATTTTTCTTACTTTTGAATATATTTCTTTATGACCACTGTTTTCTTTTACGGACCATCTTGAAAAGAAAAAGTCGAGACGTAAAACAATGCTTCAAACACGTGCGTCGTTCAAACGATTGTGAAGTACCCACTTCAAAACAGTTAAGTTATCAAAGTTAAAGGATAAAGTTTAAAGTAATAGATTTTTCTTACTTTAGAACATTTTCGTCATAACAACAGTATTCTTTTCCGAACCATCGTCGAAAGATAAAGAGGAGTCGTAAAACTATGCTTCAAACACGTGCGTCTTTAAAACGATTGTGAAGTACTCACTTCAAAACAATTATTTTTATCAAAGTTGTAAATTAATCATTTAGGCGACATGTGACGTCATTTAACTACACCATTTCATGATACAATACAATCAACACCTTAATTAATTAGACCTTTGTTGCAGAAAGCCATAAAATGCAATCAGCTGATTATTGATTTTCTATCAAGGTGAATTCCCGGTATGGCCTGATCAGGGAAAAAGTCCGAGAAACCTGAAAAAAGTAAACAAGATGGACGAAGTCGAACCGTTATATTTCTTTCGCCAAAATCTTTCGCTAATAATGAATTTTAATCGCCACAATTTTTATTTTTTTTGCAAAATGCAAAAATGGGAACGCCTGCGGAAACCCTGCCCATTTTGAAAACTCCTCCTTTGGTTCGACTGAAGTGCTTTTATTTTTGGATTCACCTTCATCAGGAAAGCTCAAACCATAAATATTTGAGTATTTGAGATGAGCTATATGACTTAAAGGGGTCTAAAACAATGACCATATAAATTTAACTTATTTGACCTTTTTCAGCCAGTTTTTATTATCGTTATTGTTAAATCCATTAAAGGTCAACTTTGCCTGATGGAGGAGGAACCTTATTTTTTTTAACAATTCATAAATTAATCAATCGAGAAGTTAAGTTTTAAACCATATCAGTACCAAACCGCGTTCCTTCTGAGCTGATGATAACCTCTGGCACTTACATTCTATCAGTGTTATAAGATGAATACACCACTTTATAAATATGGTGCATCCGAAACCCTTTTTGGTTTGTTCACCTTTATTTAGAACGCTCAACTCAGATAATCTTATTTCAAAGGATTTGTAAATTATTGATACTCGAGGGGCTATATAACCAAAACAGACCTGAAATGATTCGCCATATTCACCTACAGTTTTCCTTATGTGGTCTACTTAATTTTTCTCTTTCAGCAAGTGTGATTATGCAACCGACCTGAATAACCTCCCCCTGTTCATACATGGTTGCCTGCTTTGTTAACTCATATTTATCTCAGTGGTCGTTGATGTCTTAACATTTGAATTATTTCTGTTTTGAAATTAGAACGTTTGTCATTTTGTGAACGTATATTATAAATTTTGTGTGAATATAGTGTCCAAGAGACAATGTTATCTATAAGAAAGTAATGTAAATATAAAAAAGTATTCAACATTATTCCTGCAATTGTGTTGGTTTTCTTTTTTACGTTCTTAGCTTGATTTCGTAGTAGTAGATTCTGCCATGGCTTAAACTGTTCAACTACACATTTAGATGTTCTAAAATTTTCAGAAATTGACAAATATGAAAGATTTTAATCTACAATCTACTACTTCATGATCAGTTTCCCTATTTTCAACTTTCCAATACTCAGCAGAAGTAAAATATCCTCTGTTCCTTGGTAGTGGGCGTACATATCTCAATTGATACGTTTGCACGGAAGTGTGCTTACAACGCAGAAACTACTCTAGCATGGTTATGAGTAAGAACAATTTCAATTGACTCTAACCAGATATGTTAACCGATAAGATGAGTTTGAGCCTCAACTCATAGGAGATATTTTTCCGTGGTATTAGATCTAACAGAATAGTCGTATGTTATGGTTTAATAATTTGTATGCTGCTTTTTTTACATAGCATCATTTCCAAATGAGACAATTTTACCTGAAGTGGAGTCCATACTGATAGATGGACCAAAGTTCAACATACCAAATTACACTCCTACACCAAGCCTTATACCAGTGTTCAGATGTAAATTCGAAGATATTTCTAATGGAACTTATGTTTACGATGTGAATTGGTATATAAATGGACACAATTTAACGATGTACAAAAATATGGAATTTGATAACATCAACAGCACTTACTTAATGAGTTCAGATTGGCGTGAAAAATATCAAATGAATATGGAGGTAATATTTTATGTGTTTTTATTCATTTTCCGTTAACTTTTGGCTACTTTACATTAATTCATTTCACTTCATTAATTTTCAATTACCTAACGCAGCTGCAAAATATCATGCACATTAAGGTCGGTAACGATATGCAAGTTAGATATAAATTTTGTCGTATTGAGAGGATTGGTCTATACTTTCGAGAGTCGTTGGAATACAACAGTCATTTATTGGTACTGTACAACGCTAGCCAACGCATCTTATTTAGTTAATTGGTTGATTAGTACTTCACGTCGCGTTTGTTTAAAAGGTCTGTACCGTAATTAGAGTCCAAATTTAATTTAGAATACTTTTGCAAAATTTGTTATCAAATAAAATGGTACATCCTATTGATTTTAAATTATTTTTACAAGTTAAAATGTGCCAAGATAACATTTATACTTAATATAATAATACGCAACTATGTAGAAATAGAAGATAAGACACATTTTCAAATTAGGATAAACTTATTTTCAAAGATGAATTTGTATCTCTTGGAAACAACTACTGTAACAAATAAAAGAATTCAAGAAATATGATCTTTTTTCCAGGTAACATGCTCAGTAAGGGTCCGAAATACAGTTGGTGCAGTGCCAAGTCCATTTTATAAAAGTAAAGTTTTCCATGCAGGTTTTTATGTATGTTTGACATTGGTTAATAGTACAAATGAAAGGTGAAAGTTTCTTAAATATAACATTGATTTGATTTAATTTGTTTCACATATACAGTTTAAAAAAGAGGGACGAAAGATACCAGAGGGACAGTCAAACTCATAGATCGAAAACAAACTGACAACGCCATGGTCAAAAATAAAAAGACAAACAGACAAATAATAGTACAGATGACACAACATCGAAAACTAAAGACTAAGAAACACGAACCCCACCAAAAACTGGGGGTGATCTCAGGTGCTCCGGAAGAGTAAGCAGATCCTGCTCCACATGGGGCACCCGTCGTGTTGCTTATGTTATTACAAATCCGGTAAATAGTCTAATTCGGTAGGTCACATTCGTGATAAGGGAAGGGTATTGTAGTTACGACATAAGGAACATATCCAATATCATCTGTGAAACGGTTATTCCATAACGGTCAACCAACTCGTGATGGCGTCCGTAAAATTTACGAAGGGATGATTTCAACTTCACCATTTGGAACTCTTGGCTTCAAAAATATTGTGATGAGATATATTCTACCAGTGGTGTTAACCAGATGTGGATTCTCAAAAATTCGAAAGATCTACTGCTTAATCTTCGATCACAATCTTTGCAATTTTGCAGCAACATAAAGACTTTTGATTTTTCTACGCTTTACACTACTATTCCCCATGCTCAGTTGAAAGATCGACTTCACCATCTCATTAAACAGAGCTTTTTCTATAAAAATGGGAATCGTAGATACAAATTTCTTGTTTTGGGTTACAATAATTCATATTTTGTGAAGAACCACACTGAATCTACCAGAAAATATACTGAAGATGATATTATCAAAATGTTGGACTTTTTGATCGACAATATATTTGTTGAGTTTGGAGGATTTATATTTCAACAGACAGTCGGTATTCTAATGGGTACTAATTGTGCACCCCTACTGGCCGATTTGTTTTTGTACTCGTATGAAGCAGAATTCATTCAGAACCTTCTAAAAGACAAAAAGAAAAATCACCTTGCGAAATTCTTTAATTTTACTTTCCGATATATTGATGATGTCCTATCATTGAATAACCCATATTTCAGCCAATACTTACATCTCATATATCCCAGTGAACTTGAAATTAAGGATACTACTGATACTAGAAGGACTGCTTCATACCTTGATCTTTTCCTCAATATTGACACAGATGGACGACTTCACACGAAAATCTATGATAAACGGGACGATTTCAACTTCCCAATTATCAATTTCCCATTTCTCAGCAGTAACATACCCTCTGCCCCTTCGTATGGTGTTTACATATCTCAGTTGATACGTTATGCTCGTGCATGTTCACACTATACGGACTTCATATACAGGAGTGTGCTCCTAACGCAGAAACTGCTCCAACAAAGTTATGAGGAGGACAGATTAAAAATGACACTACGTAAATTTTACGGACACCATCACGAATTGGTTGATCCATACGATGTGTCTTTGTCCAAACTAACTAAGGACATTTTTACCACGTGTTAGATTGTGGTTTTACATTACGTCGTCTGATCTTTTAATTACCGAACGTGACTTATTCCCGATTGTGACTGTTTTGCTGAGTGTGAATTCGCATTGCTATAAGACGTGTCACGGTACTTTTCTATCCAAAATTCATGTATTTAGTTTTTATGTTATATTTGTTATTCTCATCGGATTTTGTCAAATGTCTTATCGTTTGTAGTTGTAAATCTTATTTTTTTCTGTTGTATTCGTGTGTTATGGTAAAAATAATTAATCACCCATTTCATTTATTAGATTTTAGTTTGGGTCAAATAAATTTATACGATATATTTGGTTTACAGTTTGATTTTGAAGAAACACCGACATAGCTAGATAATACAATTAATTATCTAATTACTACCACGATTTTATATTAATTAGTATTGTAATTTTCATTGTTATTGATAAATGTTATATGAGTATTACAAACCTAATCTTGAATTCTATCCTAATTCTATCCTATTTTGGGGAAAATATTTAGAAATTCAAATGTGACGTCACTTTGTGCGTTGATCTCTTTGGCTAACTCGGCTGTGAATTTTTATGTGCTGGTTTATGTTGTTTTATGTATCCGTTTTTATTCTGTAGTAAGTCACCACTTCGGTGTTATCATGTATATCTATTATATAGTCATTTTTATAAATTTACTGTTTGCAAAAGTATGAATTATTCTAAATACTAAGGATGTTCTTATCCCAGACAGAAAACCTTAGCCGTATTTGGCACAACTTTTTGGAACTTTTGGTCCTCAATGCTCTTCAACTTTGTACTTGTTTTGGCTTTCGAACTTTTTTTATCTGAGCGTCACTGGTTAGTAATGTGTGGACGAAACGCGCGTCTTGCGTATTAAATTTTAAACCTGGTACCTTTTGTTAGCTATTATTCGTATGTTTCTCTGTCCTATATGTTCTCCCATTTATTTGTATTGTAGTCCTGTCATGTAATGTTGTCATTTTAATGTTATATTTAACATTGCCATAAAAGCGGGAGGTTTGTCTAGCCACAAAACCAGGTTCAACCCACCATTTTTTTCTTAAAATGTCCTGTACCAAGTCAGGAATATGTCCATTGTTATATTATAGTTCGTTACTGTGCGTGTAATATTTTAATGTTGTGTTTCTGTTGTGTCGTAGTTCTCCTCTTATATTTGATATGTTTCCCTCAGTTTTTGTTTGTAACCCGGATTTGTTTTTTTCTCAATCGATTTATGAATTTCGAACAGCGGTATACTACTGTTGTCTTTATTTAATAGCTTCCTTGTGAGCAGCAATCCTCTATCAAGGAAATCATGATAGGAAATACAAGCCCGGGAATATCGTATCAATTGGGAGATATATACTCCGTATGCAGGCGCTGCTGGACTCATTAGGGGCGCTCGAATGGATACAGTTGGAAGGCCAACTATAACTGCAAACACTGAATAAGTGACATGTTGAATGAAAAATGATGAATAAGAAAACAATCTGTGTAACGTTGCTGCTCGAAAAAAAAACTCTTGCCATCAGTGATTACCATCCAAATTGTCATTCTTTCATTTCTTTTTGTTGTTCGTGTGGTACACTTTACCAAATGTGATCAAAATCATGAAAAACCCACTCAAATAAGACATTTTACCTTGTGTGTAATATTTTTCTGTTCATAAGATTGTATCAATGTAAAGATTTCGACATATTTCCGTCATTTGTATAATTTAAATTGAACTGCATTCAAGGTTGGCGTGAATAAAAATAATTTTGCTATCAACAATGTTGATACCTTAAAATACACCACAGTCTGCTGCATACTACAACGCGTGCATTATTCATTAGTTGTATAATCAAAAGAAGAATTGGAGAATATGCAATGAGACTGACAACAACTGCATTCTTTGTGTGTATTTTGCTTGTAGAAACATTAAGAATGTTTGGTTGGTTTGTTTGATTTGTGTTATCATTATATTTTTCATTTTGCTATATAGCCAGAAAAGTATGCATATACTGTAATTGAGGGTGAACACATTGACATACCATTCACTTCAACTGTTCAAGTTGCTTGCATTGCTTCTCATCCAAATATTCAAGAAAATTGCAACCAGAATTTCTACATTTTTCAACCTAAGTATCAACATAATACGGCAGCATGTATGAATAATATTGCCAGAAGGGATCTTGTATTTGAAGCACAGTTTTGTGGAATCAAACTAGGAAATCTTGATTGGAATCAGACAAAGTACCTTAAAGTATATGGGTTTAGTGATGGTCTATATAACTCTGAAGACAGGTCAACATATATTCGAGTCTCTACAAAATCCGTTTCCGTTTTTAATGAATTCTGGAAAGACATAAAGATACCAGATATCAAGGTAATTAAATCGGCACAATATTTAGTTTTATTCTTCCATATTCTTAAAAAAAACAGCGGTTTGGGTTATTAATTTAAATAGATAGAACATTTTCATGTTTCCATTCAAACGTCACTGGTGAAACTTAATTTGACGAAACGCGAGTCTTGCGTTCTAAACTGTAAGCATGATATCTTTTGTCCTCGAGGGTATCACAAGCCCAGTAGTCGGCAAACGTGTTGACCTGAAATATCATTGATATGTTCTTTGTTCTGTAAATGTACTGTTTATAAAATGTTGAAATATAATGTTAAAATAAGGTATTTCTACCCTAGTTATAGGTTGCCTTATCGACTTCGTATTTGATTTGGCCTTCCAACTGTTTTGATTATAACGTAACAGATGAGTCCTGTGTATGATAAACGCGTGTTTGTCGTACAAAATCTAGTCTAGTATCTTTGATGAGTTTTTTTTTAAAACTTTACCAAAATTTGATATTGACCAAATCACAATTAAAAGTATACGTCATCGACATAGTTTTTAAGCTAACTAATGTGTAAAATATTACTTATATTTCAATGATATTTTTAAAAAGATTGAAAAAAAGAGGGACGAAAGATACCAGAGGGACAGTCAAACTCATAGATCGAAAACAAACTGACAACGTCATGGCCAAAAATAAAAAGACAAACAGACAAATAATAGTACAGATGACACAACAAAGAAAACTAAAGACTAAGCAACACGAACCCCACCAAAAACTGGGGGTGATCTCAGGTGCTCCGGAAGGGTAAGCAGATCCTGCTCCACATGTGGCACCCGTCGTGTTGCTTATGTTATTACAAATCCGGTAAATAGTCTAATTCGGTAAGTCACATTCGTGAAAAGGGAAGGGTATTGTAGTTACGACATAAGGAACATATCCGATATCATCTGTGAAACGGTTATTCCAAAAAGGGTTTTGATAGAGGAAAGTAAAATTGCGTAAAAAGAAAAACACTAGAGGTGAAAATTTTGAGGTAACAAAGTTTATTAGTTTTTTTTAAAATCTTCACGAATAATGGATGTCATACATCTCAAATTTTCCTACACAAAAAATAATTTGCAACTTTTTCAAGAAAAGTAGTATTAAGATGATTTTTACTGTTCTGTTTCTTTAGTTTTTTCGCTTTAAATGTCCTTACATAATTTCAATTTTTTGAATCATACCCGATCTGGTCTATTCCCAAAACATATGTCATGCATACTGAAATCTGTATCTAACATTTACGTTATAACAAACCTAAAATATTTCAGTTAAATGGTTTCCGCTTGAATGGTTTTACACTAGTAATTTTTTGGGGCCCTTTATAGCTTGCTGTTCGGTGTGAGCCAATGCTCCGTGTTGAAGGCCGTACCTTGACCTATAATGGTTTACTTTTATAAATTGTAACTTGGATGGAGAGTTGTCTCATTGGCACTCATACCACATCTTCCTATATCTATGAGAGATTCAAACGAGCGTGCAATTCTTGTAATTGTTCTTTACACATGTACTCAAGGTGACATGACAGCTCATTTATAGTTGGAAAAGATCAAGTTTTCACTGAAAGAAATAGTTTTTGCTAACCGGATTTCAATCGGCTTTGAGTTCCCCGTTTTGTTTTGTTTTGTTTATTCAATCGAGTGATATCTTAAACTTTATGAAATAACACTCGTTAAACATATATTCTTATTTCGTATATCGGGATTCGTGTTATTTCTGGAGTAAATAGAACAGAATTTGTTTTCGATAGGTTACTGTTGTAGATAAAGATTCCACCCTTACTAGTAGGTTGTGTCAATCATACAACGATCCACACATAACAACATTTGATGGAAAATATTATGACTATATGGATGTTGGTGAATACGCTATGTATAGAAATAGCAGAGGACCATATTGGGTAAGTTTAAAAGCTTTTGATTTGGTAAAAGTTTGGATAGATCAGTTAATTTTAAACATCTGTTTACCTTTGTGTATTATTTTTTTTACCTAAAATAACTTTAGAAAGAAAGGTATAAAATACTGGCCTTATCGCACATAAGGTCTGCCAAGAGTTTGGAATGCTAAAAGATAAAATCTGTAAATAATAACAAAAACATTTAAAAAGTCCCATGTAGCATTCAAATATACAAATAAGATAGATCAGAAATGTATTTTGAACTACATTTCCCTATTGCATAGTTTACTACCACTGAGTAAATACCGCTGCAAGTAGACCATTAGTCCACTGCGGATACTATCCTATTAGAAGACAGCGGTGGCATAATTAAAACGATTATTTTTTTTTCCAGTTCATAAATCATGTGATAAAACTAAAACTAAACAAAGTGAGCCTTAGACTGGTTTATCTGTTGTGATCTAATATTTCGTTTAGTTTTGGCTTTCCAAACTTTTGGTTTCGATTGTACCTGAAAACGTGTTTAGAAACACGTGACGTGCGTACAGAAACCGATATCTTTGTTTAGAATAAAAAATAAAAAGAAACTAAGATGGCAATACAAATTCCATAATTAGAAGAAAGACAAAACAACACAATGGTCAAAAAGTACAGAAAGACAAACTACACTCCACAAAACAATATACAAAAAAAGAAGATGGTGCAAAACATCCTACAATATCTATCCTTTATCCTGGGAATATTACTATCCTTTACATTTACATCGTTTCATATCCTATTTCACGGAACCAATATTTCCATTTTTACGTGGTAATAAGAAAACAATCAATATTTTACCAAACATATTATATACATGCATTGCAAAATATATAAAAGATTTAAAAAAAAGAACTTCAAAATGTATACCAATAAGTGAACCGAACTGAATATATTCATCGTTATTTGTATAAGTATAAAAGTAACATGATCTTGTTTGAGCAATTTGATGTGTCTGAAACCATCGCGCTATTAAAGGACCTTCTATTTAAGAATAAATAGATAATAATTGTAATTTCTATTCACCTGATAAATGTCTCTTAATAGAGGTATGGTCATTTTTTTTCTAATTTGAAAATAAGGAGATTTCGTATGATTGATAATAAGCCAATTATCCACTAGAGTTCAAATGACAAAGATAAAGCAATTATGGGTCATCGTACGTGCCATTGACAATGAGAAAAAATTAATACCGTATAGTAAGCTTTAAAAAACAACCCTACTGGAAATTGTGAAAAATTCAAACGAGAATATTTATACAGTACAATTTACGATAAAACAAATATGGCACACTTGAACCAACGACAACCACTGAATTGCAGACTCCTGACTTGGGCACATAAAGACATAAGACACATAATATCGATATAAAAATAACTGTAAGTTAGTGCAAATCCATAACAATTGATAAGTAAAGCATGTTTTCCCAGACTAAAGTATCAATCAGTACGCATTCAACAGATTTAGTGTAAAGATGCAACAAACAGTCTGAGATACCAGGCGTAAAATTTGTACGCCAGACGCGCGTTTCGTCTACAAAAGACTCATCAGTGACGCTCGAATTAAAAAAGTTTAAAAGCTAAATATAGAACGAAGTTGAAGAGCATTGCATGCGGACTAAATATTCCTGAAGATTTTACCAAATACAGCTAAGATAATCTATTCCTGGGGTAAAACTTCCTTAGTATTTCTAACAATTCAAAGTTTTGTTAACAGTTAAAAAATATGATATTTTCATATCAATGTTAATTCATGTCTACACAGAAGTGCTGACTACTGGCAATATGTAATCATATCATTATTGCTCTAAGATGTCTCAAAACTGCATTTTGGATGTATTTGGGTTTTGGTTCTTTATCTATGGAATGTAAAAAATAATATAGAATCCTGAAAAAAAGCAAGAAAATACCAAAAATCTTTTAAATCATGCGCTAAAAAAAGGACAGAGAACAAATGGTAACAAAAAGAAAATACAAACAATATTCCACAAACAGCAGCACAGAAAGCAAAAGTTTGAGCAACAGCAACATTCAAATTATAAATGAAATCTTGTAGGGTAAGCAAAGCAATATATTGTCTTTCAGAAACAAAGTTTTCGTTTTAGCTATGGATTTCCTTCAATACAAAATTTTACAAAAAGGTATCATGTAAACATTGCAATTATGTATCAAATTTATAAAAGATACTCACTAGAAGCGCCTGTATCGCTCACCTGCATTTTCATGTATAGTTCTAATTCAAAAATACAAGCAATAATCAAAAGTACCACAATAGAACCATTGCAAAGACTTTTTTCCACAGTAACTTTGCAATTGCATTAAAAGACGATTTAATTTTTTTTATAAGCGCCTTCATTCACAATACCACAAAAATATAAAAGACAATATCAGATAATTAATTTGTATTACATTCAAGGTTGAAATTTATCTGGTCACCTTTAAATTAACATTTTACACGTCATGCTCATATTGATTTGTGACATGTGAATAAGATTTACTCGACAGTTGCTAGGATTATAGCATAATATTTTCGTAAGTCAGAATAAGTAATGTTACAGAGGACACATGTTAAGATAAGAAGTTAGCAATATCCTTTAACTTTACGTTCCGCTATATAGATGATGTTCTCTCACTAAATAATACAAAATTTGGTGACTATGTTGAACGAATCTATCCCATTGAACTAGAGATAAAGGATACTACAGATACAGTTAAGTCTGCCTCATATCTTGACTTACATCTAGAAATTGACAATGAGGGTCGGTTGAAAACAAAACTTTACGGCAAAAGAGATGATTTCGGCTTCCCAATTGTGAACTTTCCATTTATATGTAGCAACATTCCAGCAGCGCCTGCATACGGAGTATATATCTCCCAATTGATACGATATTCCCGGGCTTGTATTTCCTATCATGATTTCCTTAATAGAGGATTGCTGCTCACAAGGAAGCTATTAAACCAAGAGTTCCAAATGGTGAAGTTGAAATCATCCCTTCGTAAATTTGTTATTTTTAAATTTTTGTTCTGTCAGAGCGATATTTTTTATGACGAAATGCGTTATAAGCATTTAATAGTAATGATTACCTTTAATTTAATTTCTAAAAGGTTCATGCTTTATTTACTAATTGTGCCTCTGGTTTGCCCGGTGCATCCTGTCATTGTGGTGTAGCAGTTCGAAGCAGAAATTCATTGTTTGTTCTAAGGACATGTGCAAGAATATCTCGTGACAATGTGTATTTACTTCAACAGCCTCACACTGAAATCCAAACATGTGATGAAAATGATCTGTCAATAGAACACAATGGCAACAATTACAAGGTGAGCAATACATATTTATAATATTATAATAGATATGGTGTCCGGCTGGATTTGCGTAATTTCCAGTGATTTTGTAAATTTTTGTTCTCGGGATATGTCATAATAATGATGTAAAATTTCAATCAACAGATAAACAAGGGGAAGTCCATATTAAAGGCCTGTTTGCAAGTTTTGGTTCTTACCATTGTGTATGAGTTTCATAAAATTTGGATGAGAAAAACTTACGTTAGAGTGCAGAAACGAAAATGGGACGGAAGGAGGGACGGAAAGACGGACGGACGGACAGACGGACGGACGGACGGACGGAAGGACGGACGGAAGAACGGAAAGACGGAAGTACGGTCAAGAATAACACTTAATGCTCCCGTTGCGTACGGTGGGGGCATACAAAAGGCATGCAAAGAATTATGGCGCTATAGTCCCTTCCATAACGGACGTGTTACTTGAATATTATGATGTAATTGTATCACAAATTTCAACAGATGATTTTCCTGCTTTTCAAGTTACAAGAAAATACATGCAGAAATCACTTAATAGAATTTTGCACCTTTATTTAAATTTTTGATAGGCATTATTACACTTCTTCGGTGTTATTTTCAAAAACAATCACAAAGCCTCAATTTCAAAATGTGAAATATGCATTAATATACCTTAAACTTAGAAAGGTTTTTGATGTGTACTTGTATTCTATGAATAATGATTCATGTACACAATAATTTTAGTTAACATGAAGTATTTTCAAAAATAATTTGCATGCTATCTTTTAGCATGAAAACCTTTTAAATGCTTTCTATATATGTTTGAATTATTTTCCCAGGAAAGATCGCTGATTTGGTAAATAATGATTATTTCGATAAGCAAATCTGCTGAACCGAAAATTATGCTTTCTTTTTTTTTTTGTGCAGAATTGGATTCAAATTTAATTATATAAGAAAGATTTTTTTGAATTGGTATTATACGGGTTTTTACCACTTGATCGGTACAGCTGACCTGCTGGTATCAGTCCCCGATGCCACCACTATACAGTAACTAGTGGTTCTATAATATCATGATTTATTTGATATATTTTGTAAATTTCCATGTCATAAAAAGTTCTTGTACTGAAATTTAAGGTTGTAACTCTCAGGTAAAGTTGACTGTAGATGGCTTTGGCTGTTCTGTTTGTGACATTTTTGTTGTTTACTTTTCAATTGTTTACATTTGTGGTTTTGCGAACTTTTAGTCTCACGCATAAATGATGAAGATTATTAAAGAAACGCGTATAGTGCTCACGGAAAAAGGTCTTAAATTTTTAACTACAATTCCTCGATTATAGCCAGTGTTTTGATACTGGAAAGAGTATAGTGCATACATTTTCTGCAAATTTACAATTTAAAAATTATGTTTTTATACTCAGACTTGTTTTGACCCTAGATGATTTTTGCTGTTTTATGTATGACCTTTTGGCTTGTACTCCTCGTTGCTTGAATTATTTTTTGGCTCATCAAACTTGTTATGACGAGCGTATATAATGAAGGATTATTCCAGACTTAGTGTTGTGCACTTGGAAATTGGTATGATACATTTTTCTGTTATAGGTTTAAGTGTCAAGTGCATACAGGTTTGTAAACAAAGTCTTTCAAATTTTGTCTTGTATATTACAGATTACTTTGCCAATTGGTACTGAAATACAATTTACCGTTTCCTACTCCAAATTTATAACTCGAATTTCCATAAAACCTTCGATCTACGACATCAATGAATCAAGAGGACTATGTGGAGTTCTGAGTGTAACAAAAGATAACTCCGACGATCTCACACATCGTCAATTGGGACCAGTCACTAACATTAAAAGTTTTGGAGATTCTTGGAGGTATGTTTTATTCAAAAATCTTATCAATGATTTAATTGGGATAGATGCGTCTTACATCAATTTATCGCTTATGTTTATAATGTTCAAACCCCTCCTTTATTTTTGAAAAGTAGCAGGTAGTCTTGTTTTAACTTTGTTTGTTTTCAGAGAAGAGATAGTTTGTCTTTGCTTTTGTTTTTGAGGGAAGGCGAATTGATTTTGGTATTCTTTTTATTTTCGTGGCTAAGGTAGTTCAGATGTACCTAGTAGTTTCTTGTATTTTTTGTGGTAATTTTTTACAGTTGGTTTAACTATCAATTTTTTTATTTTTTATAAAAGATGGAATTGTTCCTTATTTTGTTGAAAAATAGGAAACACATTCTACGTATGGTAGAAAGCAAATCAAAATAAACTTTAATTAAATATCAAAATATCTGAATTAAAATTAAATGCAAGTAACATGGCAAAACACATTATCTTCACATTTCACAGCAGTAACATACCTTTGCCTTATCGTAATGCGTTTATATATCTAAATTGATACGGTAGGCTCGTGCATATTCACACTTTATGGCCTTCATTAGGAGTGTGTGCTTCTTACACAAACCCTGCTCTAACAGAGTTTTAAGGAAGAACAACTGATAACGACATCACATAAGTTTTACGGTCAGCATTACGAATTGATTGACCGATAGAATGTGCATGTGTCTGAACTCACTAGCAACATGTTTCGCGGTCTTACATCTTTATATACCAGCATAGTCGTCTGATATGTTAATTTTTAAGTCCATATATATGGACTATTGAATATTACTTACTCACAAAAAAAAATGCAATAGAAAGTTTTCGTCAATGCACTTGCGATTAAAAATGAAATTTTTGTCGTAAATAATTTCACTTCAGTCAAGTGAATTAATCACGACTCGTAAATGATCGTTTCATTTCGTTCAGTTGAATTACAACAGGAAATAAATGCCGATTGTAACAGCAGTTTTGATTGGTGATCATACTTACATCACTTATAACAAGAACGCCGACAAGTAGATTGCATTTTCACTAGTAAACCAATTTTGATCTGAAAGGGTCATGTTGATCTGGACAGCTCACCAAAGACTGAAAAATACATAATGTAACCATGATAACAGTCTAAGAGTGTTTGGTGTTAGTGAAATCTAGATAAAGTCCAACTTCGACTGAGGGAAACATCTTTTGTAAGTCTTTGTACGTGTTTAAGAGTGATAGAGGCGTATACCTCACGTCTTCTTGTTTTCGTGTATAAACTTTGTGTTCCAGGGTTATATCAGTTTCCTGCAGTACTGACCCATCCATTTCAATCTCGATCAGTTTAAACATTCATGGTAGTTTTTGTTTTCCTTGGATAAATTTGTATTTACACCGTATTTTAACCATATTAGTTAATATAGGTTTTTGAAGTTCCTTAATGCTTGAACAATTTTTATTCACTACATTTTTGTGATGGTCAAAATATTTGGTGAAAAAATCAATGTAATTCAATTTACTAACACAATACATGATGTGCTTTTTAACTCATATGCGTAATGACAATCTTTCAGCAAAACAAATTTAAGGCGAGACGATAGTGATACTTTTATTTCACAACAAAATAAACAGATCAATCAACACTGTGATATTGATATAACAACAATAAAACACAATTGCCTGTAAGCAGATACTTAATTATACCGTATCGAAGATTATTAGCCAATGTATAATAATGTTTATGTTGAAACCATGTTTTACATTCGTTAGATTTCTATGTTGAATTTTCTGTACTGTTGTTTTTCTTTTCGTCGTTTTTCGTTTTTTACCATGGCATTGTAAGTATGTTTTCGACTTCTAAGTTTTAATGTCACTTTTGTATCTTTCGCCTGTATAATAAATAACCTCAGCTACAGTCGTGCTACAACGATCGCACTCAAATTTAAAAAGAAGTTTGAGACGAAAAATATGTTATTACGACATTGGCCATTCATTGTTTGTTAGTGTGCGTGTTTTCGTTTTCTAGGGACAAGTTGCAAATTTAATTAAAACAACAATTAAACATTTTCAATAACATAGAAGAACAACTTTTTTTAAATCAATGTTGCTTTTATTTTATTTTTTACTAATTTTCGAAAGAAATTTTGTTTTCATTTCCTCTATGAAACAGGAAATTTAAAAACCAACAATTTATTTACGCCTCTCTTTCCTCTTCTTACAATATGAATTGTCAGTGCCTAATTTTTTTATATTATTGCAGAATTGATCCTATAGTCATGAAAGACGAACAACTTTTTGTGAACGAACCTTCTTTTCAAACACAAAGTATTGTCATTATCGATACTCCGGAAAAAACATCTCAAACCAATGGCACTGCGCAATATTGTGTCTGTGACCAGGAGGCCAAACCGACTGATGATCTGGATCAGTTTTATACAGTTCAGTGTAATTTGTCGGAAAGCACACAATATTGTTCATCGGATGACCAATCTACAAGCAATAAAGACAATTCTATAAAACCATTTGTCACGTCTTGTTATACTATTTCAAGGAAGAAGCGGTCTTTAACACATAGTATACATCGACGTAGCGTGTCCGATTCTGATGATGTTATCGACGTTCCGTCCCTCGAATACGATAAAGATGCACTGAATACTTCTTTGAATACTACGGTAAATATATACTGTTAAAGGAAAAGATACTTACATGGAACACTAAAGAATGTTCGTCCTTGTGTTATGCAACACACAATGTGTTAAGATCTAATTCATCGCATCTCCTTAATCTTTCTAGACTCAGAACTTGACATATTGAACATACACCTGACGTTTCCTGAAAACCACTTGTTGACCTCTTGATATGTTTTGTGTTGTTGGTTTTGTCTCACAATTTATTTAAAGTTAGTTTGTTTACAGTGTAAAAGCTTGTGGCAAAAAATAACCTACTCTACAAAAATGGAGCAATTGAATTTTTTTCATCTATGTATAGCATAGGTTATTTTCTTTTTCTTAAATATCAGTATAACAAGCTTTTAATGCAATTATCTCAATAACTAATGAAAACAAAACTGTATGCATTTGCACGTATATTTCAATTAAAATAGTTCACTAGTAGCGTGACATTTTATGACAGAAACAGTTCAATGATCTTTTATCTTATTCGGCGCCATGATTTCCAGTCGTCGAAAATGAGTCCCTTTGTAAGAAATGTGTAGCTTCTTGGTTTTCGATTTTAGATCTACAACAACTACAACTACATTGTTACATCAATCATACCTTCATAGTGTCAAGAACTAGAATTTTTTTCAAAATCAATGTCTGATGCAATTGAAGTGTATTTAAACATTATTTCTTCTAAGTGCAAGATAGAAAAAGGAAATGCAGTTTAAAACTATAGAATAGTATACCGGCGCAAGCTTTTAAAAAAACTCATCAAAGATACCAAGTTTATAATTTGTTTGCCAGAAAAATTTACAGTTATTGGTTGTTAGATGTGAAATTATAAATCAAATAATTGTTTATAAAGATATAATAATCTATGCTTTAGGGACTATTTTATCATGCATTTCCTTCATATTTCGAAAGGAACCAGAGTTCCAAAATGGTTGGACTCAGGAGGAAGCAAATAGAACCTGTACTGAAAATATCCAGAATGCACTTCCAGCTGAATTACTTGCCAATGTGGCTGGGCTGACTAATGAGGACTATATCAAGTCCTGTATTGAGGATATTAAAGTAAGAAACAGTTTTTAGTGGACATACATATTCTATACATAGTCTGTACATTGATTTACTGAACGACAAGATACCGCACAATATCCGTTGTCGAGTACATATCCGTTCCGTTCAATACTTATTGTTAGTATTGCAGAGCAAATGACCGTACGGACGGCCGTACGGTGACATATTGTTGCTTAAATCTACGTGATTTTGACTCAAGCATACTACATCTCCTTCTTATATACGAGATAAACAACAGAGATTAGAAAACCCACAAATATGTGTGTTATTTTACTTATTTTAGAATATAAATTATTATAAAAATCATAAATCAGTTGTCATGGCCATTGGAAATATATATAAACGAATATCAGTGAAATACGTCAATGAAACATCAATCTAACGCCACAAAACATGACGTTGACAAGGTTTTTTTTTAATTTTGATTGTCCCTTTGGCATCTTCTGCCACTTTTCTTATATCTATTAATCATATCCGCGTGCACAATTTACAATAAGTATATAAGTATATACAGGCAATACAATTTTTAACAATTTTATTATGCTACGAAAATAAAAAAATCAATTTTGTGATTCATAAAATATATTATAGCATTTTGCTGATTTTAGCTAACTGCAGACACCACATTTGTACAGGACACAGTGGGAGCAATGCAGACTTACACTTTAATGGAAGTTTCTAGAAATGAAACTTTGGCTTTAACAGAAATTAACAATGGGTCTCAAAGCATTTTGGAATATGTAACCAGTTTACTATGTGCTAACAACTGCAGTGAAAATGGAAATTGCACATCAAGTATTGTTGTTTAATTTAATAGAAATGTTTTTTTTTTCTTTTATTCATGTATGACTTTTATCAGTATCGTTGCACAAATCTATAGACTTGTACACATTTTTCCTGTTTGTATAATACCTTTAGTTCCAGACGATTGTTTCGGGTGGCAGTTCAGTCTTCGTGTCAAACAAAATTTCTGTTGACCTCGAATCCAGTCAAGAACTATACTTCTTTACGTTATTAACATCTTTTTAAGTAGAAAATTTATTTTTACTGATTTATCTAATTTCGTAATGAAATCCATGTAATTTAATTATCGATAATGTATTTAATAAGACTGAGAATGTGTTAAATCTATCTCATCATATTCTGTTCATTTCATATTTTTAAACGTCATCTTCATGTTTTAAAAAAAAAACAGAAATTAAGAAAAATTATTGTTCATATTTTTCTACCTGTAGGCGTATGTTCGTGTTACGAGGGTTACATTGGAGATGACTGTTCAATATCAACTTCAGTTGCTCCTTCTAATATCAGCTTACCCTTAAATGGTTTATGTGGAACACGTACTAGAGCCTGTGCAAAGACAAATATAATTGGCACGTTCCCATCGCCAGATGTATGGTGCAAGCGAAGACATTTCCAGGTTATATATATTCGTGTATTTCTAAGTAAATTTCCCGATCGGCAAATTATATGTTAGATATAACCATGAATTTTATAGCCAAGGGCTAAGGATGTAAAAATACTTGCGAGCTTCATGACAAAAAGGGTAAAAGAATTTCCTCGGGGAACAGGAGCCTTAATTTCTTAGTAATATCTTCATAAATAAGCTGCAACGTTTTGATGGAAAGTGAACGTTAACAATCGGATGTGTCGTATAGAATGCCAGACGCGCGTTTCCCCTACAACAAACTCATCAGTGACACTCGAATAAAAATGTTTAAAAGGCCAAATAAAGTATAATTGTCCTATCCAAAATAAAATACCAGTAAAATTGACCTGAAAGCGACCAGGACGGACAAACCGGTGGGAAATTTATCTGTGTTTATGTAAATCTACATTATTTATTTAAAATGTTTTCCTACCTCATAACACCGTATGACAAATAATTGATTCATTGACAAATAAGTCTTTAAAAAAAACTCAATAAGAAATCTTATAAACAACGTGTGAGCTCTTATAATCCTTTTAAATCTACAACATTCAAAGATCTTACTATATACGTATGATCACAAAAAGTAAGGCTTGGCAGGATGCTTACTTCTGTATTCAAATTTTTGCAGAAAAACATACTATTTCTTTTGTCCATGTAGAAACTGTGCAAAATGGGGAAAACACTGTATACATTTCATACGTCCGATTCGCTTTTCTAGATTTACTTTCACCAGGAACGCTCAAAGCCAAACCATTGAGAGCCACAAATGTATAGTGAAGAGTTATACAATCACAAAGGACCAAAAATAATAGCCCAATCTATATAAGATCAGCTTTTCCTGAGGGAGATGGAACCATAGTTCCATAATGATTTTTAAATCTATCAATGGAGATTTAAGAAAATTCGCAAATGAGACTAAACTAATGATAAGGTCGTTCACAAATAAAATCCCATTGTCTTCATTAGTACTTCCAATCCGCATTGGTAGTAACAACCTCTTTATTTTGTAGATATTGAACGATTCAATGGTATATACATCTAACGCAGATGTTGTAAAAGCTGAATACAGAAATGCTTTCATGGTATCCGTCGATTTACAATCATCCAGACGAAAACGGTCATTACCAGAAGTTTTAGACGCGGAAGGATATGAACTAAGTCTGTCCAATGATGGCATTCATTTTGGAGAATCTGTCAATATCATAATATATGATGAGGAGTGTAGTTCTTGTAATGCAACATCTGTCATATGTGTAGTTTTGGTGAATATACTTTTGAAAAAGCTTTATATGGATCATACATCGATCAGATAAATATGTATTAAGAAAAGTTTCACTTGAAAATTGTTATGTTTACAGGAAATACATTTTCCACTAAATGTGATAATTTTTAGTTTGCCTGAATTCTTTTTTTATGGGGATACCAAAATGCGTGTAGATACTTTTTAAAAGTAAAGCGGAAGCCAAGTCACCAGTGCTTCTATATTTCTGGTTTTTAAATGACCATATATCTTTCAGACTACACACTAACCACATCCCCACCAGCTAAGGCTTGTAAAATTGCTTTCGAGCCTGTAAAATTCTTCTCTTCAGGCCAACAGAATCCAACTAAAATTAACGTAAAAATTGCACTCTTTTCAAGTAAGTGCGACAATTCTTGCTAAAAGTCTACCAATTATCTGCAAGCGTGGCGATTATAATAACAGTAAACAACAAATGGGTTTCAATTGACACAATTTGAACAAGAGTTACTTCCCTTTTGTCGCCATGTTGGAGGTCTAGGTGCAAACATTCCTGATCAAATCAGCCAAATTCAACTTTTAATATTGACCGCTAGACTATAGAAAAAGCTTTTATCTGACCTATTTAATTTCTTTCATCAGAATTAGTTGTACCACATGATTCAATTTGGTTAATCAAATAAGAAATTATTTACCCCTCAAAAACGGAGGCCAATGGAAATAACTCAAACTCAAATTACATTCTATCGAAACATATTTATTAACTATCAATTCAGTCTAATGTGGTTAATTACAGTGTTAAGTTTTCACGATTGGATTAGTTCTTGGTACCTATGTATTTAAACAATAATAAAAATAACAATTTTTGTCATGAATATGAAATGCGGATTAAAAGAAGAATTAATTTTGAACAACTGAGATACAATATACAAGTATGGCAGGTAGAAAAGGTGATAATCCAAAATTGTCAACCCGATATTCAACGCTTTTGTGGGGCCACAATTGTTTTAGTGTACCGAACTAACAGTGGAAGGTCGCTTTGAACCATTGATAAAGCACTTACCTTACTGTAGTAATAGATTGTCAAAACATTTACCTTAGATAATTATTATGTATCTCGTATGTACAACAAAGTTTGATTCTTTCTCTGAAAAATTGATGGCCCTGAAAAGTACCGTTTATGAAAGATATCATCGGCACTAGATCAATTTCAAAGCCTTGTTTCCTCGTCACTCGATTGGCTTCTTACCTGACTGTTGCCATTTTGTTTACATGTGTCTGTGGCGTCATTTTGATGGAAGATAACTCGTGTACAAATCAAGAAGCTCAAAAGGTTATTCACCGATGAATGATTGGGTTATTCGTAGCTGGGTGTAAATTTTTATGGCTATTTGTCCTTCCTTGCGATTTAAATAAAATTAACTGAATTATTCAATGAAACGTGATAACGTGTTACCTAAGAGAATTGTTTATCATATCTGTAAGGTACAATAATAGAATTCATTTGATAGAATAATTATGACAACCCTTCTCATATCATAATCTCGATAATATAACAATTTTGTATGAATAGATAACATCTTTCACTAATAAGATTTTTTACTTTCTAAAACAACATTTCATACATCTAGGAATCATGTCCAGATATGACAACACAAATTACCGATGCTACAACTGAACGATCTTCAACAAAGCAGGAAACCACAACTGAACAGATAACTACTGCAGACAAAACTTCTACAGTGTCTGAACCAACAACGATGGAAGAGAAAACAACCACAATCCCAATAACAACAACTGAAGAGAAAACAACCACAGTCCCAATAACAACAACTGAAGAGAAAACAACCACAATCCCAATAACAACAACTGAAGAGAAAACAACCACAATCCCAATAACAACAACTGAAGAGAAAACAACCACAGTCCCAATAACAACAACTGAAGAGAAAACAACGACAATCCCAATAACAACAACTGAAAAGAAAACAACAACTCATGAGAAAACAACAACTGAAGAGAACACAAAAACAGTGGTTTTAACGACTACTGCAGAGAAAGCATCCATAGTTCCTATAACGACAACTGAAGAGACAACAACTACTGTCCCTATACAAACGACAACAGAAGAGACAACAACCACTGTCCCTATACAAACGACAACAGAAAAGACAACAACCACTGTCCCTATACAAACGACAACAGAAGAAACAACTACCATTCCTGAAGTGCCGACAACGGAAGATAAACAAAGTATGGTCCCTAAACAACAGGAGAGGATCGTTTTTCTTTTTACTCTTTTTACGCATGTCCAGTCATATAACAGAAAGTGCTTTATATGGCATTCTTATTTCGTTTTCCTATAATTGCTAACATCTAAGTCATTTTGGTCTCTAAGTGGTAGTCGTTTCATTAGCAATCATACCAAATCTCCTTATGTAATATAGCAATATTCTAATTGTACGTAATTGGTTACTCGTGTGTGACTGAGTCACAGTTAAACTTGCAACATTATTCGTATATTGTACCAGAGATCAAACTGGACATTTCTGTCGATTTGGAAACGTTATATGATTTTAATCGTTAAACGTTTGGTTTTTCAAAATGGTTTTCCTCCATCTTATCTAAATCGCAACATTTTTTAACGTGCCTTATATGTCCACTTCGATTGAAAAAAGTTCTGAATTTTCCTATTATAATCCAAATAATAATTTCGTGTCACGCATATATGCTAGTGGGTATCATACTGTCACTATCTTTACACAGATTGCAAAACATTTATTTCATGCCATACTTTTTGTAACATAGGTGTTGTCTTTGACAATATTTTACACTTCGCTAAGGCTTAGTGTAAAAACAATTGTCAAATATAGTGCACACCGATGTTGAAATAGGTATAGATCATGACATAAATAATTTTAACTATAGTAAAACAAATGATACGCAAACTCGAAAGGTACGACAATGACATAAATATTATTTCTATGTTAAATATAAGATTGTAAGGTGCCACCCAGTTTCAAAATTACATTTAGATAATCTTAGTTCATCGATGGAGACAGAAAGAAAAAGCAAACAGACATTTTTTTATTTAACCGTAAATTTTATAATGTTATCGAAGGCCTTTTTGAATATTTATGTTTCCTTTCGTTTAAACGTTCGTGCGACACAGATTGTTATCAGTGCAGATAATCGAGTAATCGTACAACCCTATCGTTTGAAATACCTACATAATATTAAAGACCATAAAGTACTAAGTGAATGTTGGCAAGTTCTTTAATTAATAAAAGAAAACAAAAATATAAAAACAAAAAATACAGGTCTATCAGATGTAAATATTTGTACCATCCTTAAGATGAAAAATAATCCCTTTTATCCCTTTTATATATTTCATGCTTCTTTTTTGGATTTACCTTCATCAAGAACGCTCAAGTCGAATATGATGTCCTTCGATGCAAAATTAAAAAAGAAATGTAAAATTTGTAAAAAGGTACCGTCATTATCTTCAAACTGTATCACGCAGAATATTGTTTCGTTTTTAAAATTGTTGAAAACCTTATAACATATCATTTAGACTCATTAATTTCCTAATTCCGCTAGGTTTCACCAACCTTCCAGTTTTTACCCTCCAAAGGAAACATATACTTGGTTATTTTGCCATATCTTTTAGGTTAAATAGCACAAGAATATTATATATTCTTTTTTTGTTCTTTTTCTTATATTTCTTTACTTCTTGAATGAAATAGACTGTTTATTGGTTCAGTTAAATTAATATTATCGAAATAATCCAAAATAGTCAACGATAAACATGTGTCTATGTTTTAAACTGTTTATTTCGAGTTTTAACAGGATGTCTATTTACCTCGCTTTTGCAATTACCAATGAGGTTTTAATATGACAAACTGATGCTACCCATTATAGAAGCATGTGCAATTTTCAAGACTAAAAATGAAGCAGTTACGTTTGGGAAATGAAATTTTACGAGATATCCCTTGATGACAATGACACATCATGTACCGTCTATTAACACGAGTCTTCACGGTGTATCTTTCGTCTCTGTATGCATTTTAAATGAAACGAAAAACAGACAAGGAATCACAATGGTTTTGTCGTGATCTTTTTTTAAACGACTAGACGGTATGGTTTTGCTCATTTGTGAAGGTCCTATAGTTCCTTACATAATCTTACATTTATCTCCTTATTTTATAGGGAATTAAAACGATTTTGGTCTTGTAAATTAAGAAGCTCATGATCGTTAATCGAATACTTGTTAGCTTATATCTGAACCGCTTCCTCAAAAATAGAACGAATTTTGCATCATAAAATCACTTTTTACAAAAGATCATTTTGTTAGATTGAAGACAATAAAATATTACACTGAATCGCTTCACCTGTCCCTTTAGACTAAAAATTTTTAAATTAACTTCGGTCAATTCAAGAAATTATAATAAAATATAATACATACTTTCTGACACGCTCCTCAGTTATACAGCGGTGCATGTTCGTATCTGTCTGGTTTTGAACAGATGGTGCAGGTCGGCTGTATGGTGTGACCACGTTGATTTCAAGTCATTCAGTAATTCAAAATAAAGTTATTGTATTGTCAAAGTTGGGAGGATGCTACTGTCATCTTGGGATGATAGTTACCACAGTGGTGGGTTTTTTTTGTCATTCTGGAGGCGCTCCTCCATTCGAAAGAATAGCAAATTTTTTATTGCAAGGTTAGATTGATACACATGTTACTATATAAAGTTTCTGCTTCAGCATTTGAATACGAAGACATTCTACATGTATGATCAAATAGTAAACGTAACATATGCAACCAAACGCTTCCTTAGAATGGCGAAACTTCGAGTAAACTGAATAGGCTGTCGTACAACAGCGATTAAAACTAACAAAAAACAACAATTTAAGAAAAATACACTTTTCTGATAAATAATCTTACCTCTATGAAAGTTTAATGCCCACTTTTTCTTTTTATCTGAATGTACAGTAACTGCGCAAGCAATTGTGCAGTCAATCATATTTTCCCACATTAAGATAATGAATTATTCTAATTTCTACAGAAACTATGGCTATGAACTTTCAGAGAGGTAAGATCATCTATCAGAAAAAGTCGTATGCAGAAATTATTGTACCAACGATTGGCTGTTCTATATTTTTTTGGCAGTTTAAATCGCTGTTGTGTGGCCGTTTTGGTCGATTTACTGAGGAAAAAGTTTCGTTTGAAACAGTAAAGACAACATAGATATGTTCGATGATACATGTTTTATTGCACGAAAATTGTCACTACTTTTCCACAAGATCATGCATAACATTGTCAAACGTTGTGGATACAATATTATCATATGCTTCAAATATCTGTTTTACAGAAAACGACAGAATAATATACTATGAAGGAATAATGGGCAGTGCCATTGCTGCTTTTCTCATCCTGGTTGGTATTGTGTTGCTCTGTTGCAAGATAAAACTATCCAAATCAAGGTAATTTTAATTATTAGTAGCAGAATTAATGAATCGATGACAAAAAGTAGTTCTTCTCGTCAGATATGCAAAATGACAATATTGTGTTTGGTTCGATGAATCATTCTGAAAAAAGTAAAATAATAAAAATACCGAACTCCAAGGAAAATTCAAAACGGAAAGTCCATTATCAAAGGGCAAAATGAAAAGCTCAAACACACCAAACGAATGGGAAAAAAACTGTCATATTCCTGACTTGGTACAGACATTTCCTTATGTAGAACAACATGACTAAACTGTGTCTTAGTTCTTCAAATATTTGTTTACTGACATAACATGAAATGAGCTTTGTGATAATCAATGACTTTCCAATTTCAGTTTTATGATTGAACTGCCCCGGTTGACCTGGGGTCATTGAGGGGAGGGAACGCGTCATAGGATATTGTGACGTGAAGATATTTGCTTTGTGACGCTAAATGTTTCCGTGTATCTACAGACTGCCCAAACCTGAAAATATTAAATTGTCTGCATACAAAAGGCTTTTTAAATGAATGTGATCGTCTTCAACCTGAAATATTTGCCACATAGAAAGTTTAAGCATGTTTTGGTGTATATGTTGTGTACAAGTTATCATTTTATACAAATTATAATTTGTACAAAAAAAATATACAAATTATAATTTGTATTTTGACTTTGTAAAAATTGTAATTTGTACAAAAAGTGCTTGTACAAATTACAATTTGTACAGAATTTGACTAAAATTCACTTATAACTTGTACAATCATTTTTAGTATGGATTTTGTTATAAAAAAAAAGCATTGATACACACTATAGATTTTTTATTCAATGACCACACAATAAACCTTACTTACAAAATACAAAAATACCCAGATGGAGACAGGGAATGTAATTGATACATGCATGCCAGTTAATTCTGATAGTACAATCGAAATTGGCCACAGTGACAATTCTGAAAGAATAATAAAAATTTCCCCAGTGACAATTCTGATAGTATAATAGAAATTGGCCCCAGTGACAATTCTGATAGTATAATAGAAATTGGCCCGAGTGACAATCAGGATGACACTGACGTCGAAACATCAATTATACGTGCCAGGAAGCGTGGGCTGTCTGGCCAACAGACCCAAGCCGAATATCTAACAAGGAAAACGAAACGGAAATTACCAGAAATTGCTGTGGGGGATAATGTCCAATTCCTCAGTATGATCGTGCCCCAACTGATCCTCGAAATATCTTAAGTGTAATTAATTATTGAATCTGGAGAATTTGGGTACTGCATTGGAACAGCTGTAGGAATTTTAACAGGATATTTGTCAAGAAATCAAATTGAAGCTGTTAAAGACACATCTTTATTCGCAGCAACGGTTCCTGAGCTTTAACTTTCGCTACGTGAAGCAGTTAAAAAGCTTTCAAAAGAGGTGGTCAGGGGTTTCTTTTATGTAAATGCAAAGTGGGTGCAGCACTTCTAAATGTAATGTAAAAAGAAAAAGAAACAGACACGTTCCGAAATCCTGTATTGGCCGGATCATAACTCGGCAAATACGAAAAAAAATCAGTATTGGCCGAGTTGACATTTTTGTATTGCACCAGCAGTTTTTATCATATTAAGTCCAATAACAGAGTATTATAACTTAGAATAATAGTGAATATTGTAATGTTTACTACAATGATGGTTCAAAAGTCACTCATTCTATGCGACTGTCATACAAGTGAGAGGTTTAGCTAGCTATAAAACCAGGTTTAATCCACCATTTTCTACATAAGGAAATGCCTGTACCAAGTCAGGAATATGACAGTTGTATTCCATTCGTTTGATGTGTTTGAGCTTTTGATTTTGCCATTTGATAAAGGACTTTCCGTTTTGAATATTCCTTGGAGTTCGGTATTTTTGTTATTTTTACTTTTTTTGGACAAAGCTGTCCTTATGTAATTGTCTTTCTATACTGTTTTGCCAAGAGTGGTTCTGGTGACATATTATCCATAAAAGAGCTCATACCACAATCAATTCGAAACGTCTATTTTTTTTTATATATTTGAAAGAGTAAAGGAGCCTTTTAATCTTATCATTATTGATTCAATGTAATTTCAAATCGAAGACTGAATCTTTCTTATAGAACAAAATGCTTGACAAACGATATTTTTAATCAATACGAATAATGTAAAATTGAATACATGAATTGACAGATCTTCTGACAAGACAGATGGAATAATTCCAGTCAGGAAGTTTGAGAATTGGACTATCTACTCAGGTCAACCCAGAAAGTCAGTAAAGGAGATTCCGAAAAATTTGCTGAATTTTGGGTTAGCAACAAGATTTAATAGCCGCGGAAATCAACAGACAGGGCCTTAAGTTATCAAGGCTGGTACAGGATTGGGGAAATGTTCGCCAAACTTGACTAACATTTATGTATTAGGAGAGTTAGTGAAGTTAGAGAAGTTGGCGAACCAGACTCATATTCAGAATATTGCTAATATGCCGAACTTGGCGAATAGTGATGTTTTCGCAAAGTTGACGATCTTATGGAACATTCAGAACTTTCACGTAATCCTGTACCTGTATGAAGTTATGACAAAAGAAAGTCGTATATTGTAATTTTTATAGAAATCTTATATAGCGTGTTGAAGAAAGTACTTTTAAATGTATAACAATTATTTACAAGTTACTTAATACTAGTTATCATGATTATTGAATCTCTTCAGAAAAACTCCTCCCGCATGAATCAATTCAAAGCAACCTTTTCTAATTTTTGAGGTAAGGACATTGTTTGTTTCCTTGTTTAGTCTAGTCTTCAACAAAACAAAATATTTTTCAATCAGTCTTCGCCAAGTTTAGTTTTCAGTATTAGGATTTACTTAGTCAGCTTAGGAAAATATTAAGTTTACTGGATTTTTCTAGATCTTTAAGGGCTGACTCTTGCGTTGGCTTTCCATTTTGATATACAAACATAGCTTCAAAATGAAATTTACACAAATAAACAACTGATATGCAAATGAAAATGTTCGCACTTATTAGTAATAATACAGGAAAGTGAAACTTAAATACTAATTGTATTTTACAATAAAAATATATATATATCGCTATTAGCTAGAATAAGAATAATTAAAAAGTTGCATACATTTGTACAATCATTTCGAGAATATAACTGTTTTGAAATTTATGTGTTAAACTGTTTTATTCAGCAGAGAATATTTAAACTAATTTTGCACTTTTTGTTTGCGGAATACCATCTTTTCCGCAAGTTTATTGTTTTCTGTTTTGGTATTAAATTAAAAGTTAAGATCCATTTTGTTACATCTGGTGATCCGTTTATTTGGCAATCACCATTGGCAGTCAGCAGGGTTTAAGAACATCCGTTGTTCGACCTGCTAGTTAAATGCGTTTTGTTAAAATATATTTTTTCACTTTTTTGGTCTTTTGGAAAATGTTGTTTGTGCTGTATTTATACCCCTCTACCAAGAAATTTGTTTTGCATGCACACGTATAAAAATTGCGGTTTTTATCCAACGCAATCATAGGTTTGAACGTTGTTTTAAATTTAGACTTGTATATATATATATATACAGATGTACTTATAAATATAATTATTTCTGTGACTGTATCTTGCATTAATTTGTAGGATCCTTTACAATAGATATTTCAGCTGATCTGTAACTATTCCATCTTCATGCCTTATATATCATGTACTGTATTACGACGCTAGATTAAAACTGACGAGGAAAGGTAACACCCGGCCACCGAAAGCTTTATTATTGTGAAGCCTAGGTGGTCGGGTGGTCTAGCGCGTGGGATACAGTGCAGGCGAATTGGTGTCACGATATCTCAGTAGCATGAGTTCGAATCCCGGCGAGGGAAGAACTAAAAATTTGCGAAAGCAAATTTTCAGATCTAACATTGTTGGGCTGATGTTTAGACGAGTTGTATATACAGAATGTACACAGCCATGTATCACCATTACTGCTGGTGATCCGATGGATAAATCTGTTGTAGAGTTGTCACTGGTTCAGACGTACTTATAAATATAATTATTTCTGTGACTGTATCTTGCATTAATTTGTAGGATTCTTTACAATAGATTTTTCAGCTAATCTGTTACTATTCCATCTTCATGCCTTATATATCATGTACGGTATTACGACGCTAGATTAAAACTGACGAGGAAAGGTAACACCCGGCCTCCGAAAGCTTTATTATTGTGAAGCCTAGGTGGTCGGGTGGTCTAGCGCGTCGGATACAATGCAGGCGAATTGGTGTCACGATATCTCAGTAGCATGAGTTCGAATCCCGGCGAGGGAAGAACTAAATATTTGCGAAAGCAAATTTACAGATCTAACATTGTTGGGCTGATGTTTAGACGAGTTGTATATATCTATATATATATACAAGTCTAAATTGAAAACAACGTTCTATCCTATGATTGCGTTGGATAAAAACCGCAATTTTTATACGTGTGCATGCAAAACAAATTTCTTGGTAGAGGGGTCTAAATACAGCACAAACAACATTTTCCAACAGACCAAATGAGTGAAAAAGTATATTTTAACAAAACGCATTTGACTAGCAGGTCGAACAACTGATGTTCTTAAACCCTGCTGACTGCCATTGGCGATTGCCAAATAAACGGATCACCGATGTAATAAATGGATCTCAATTATAAATTGAATACTAAACAGAAAACAATAAACTTGCGGAAAAGATGGTATACCGCAAACAAAAGGTGCAAAGGTTTTTGTACACCATATCCGGATTTCGACAATTAATGTCTCTTCAGTGATGTTAGGAATCGAAACGGCATTTGGAAGGCCATATAATTTACCTTAATTTAGGATAGACTCTTGAATTTTGAAAGAGTCAAAATAGGATGAACGGATCATATAAACCCGAAGGCAAATATAATACAAGCCCAAACGAAAAAATATAAACAAGTCTAAATTGAAAACAACGTTCTATCCTATGATTGCGTTGGATAAAAACCGCAATTTTTATACGTGTGCATGCAAAACAAATTTCTTGGTAGAGGGGTCTAAATACAGCACAAACAACATTTTCCAAAAGACCAAATGAGTGAAAAAGTATATTTTAACAAAACGCATTTGACTAGCAGGTCGAACAACTGTATATATATATAAACAAGTCTACATTGAAAACAACGTTCAAACTATATATATTTAAGTCTAAATTAATATATATATATAATTACTCTAAATAAAAGCACAAATTTGCAGACTTAACATTGTTGTGCTGTTATTTAGAGTAATTATGAATATAATATCTGTTTTCGGCCGTGTATCACCTTCATTGGTGATCCAATGGATGGATCTGTCGTAGAATTGTCACTTGTTTAGACGTACTTATTATATATATACACAAATTTTTGCACCTCATGTTTGCGGTATACCATCTTTTCCACAAGTTCATTGTTTTCTGCTTGGTATTAAATTAATAATGAAGATCCATTTTGTTACTTCTTGTGATCCGTTTATTTGGCAATCGCCAATGGCAGTCAGCAGGGTTAAAGAACATCCGTTGTTCGACCTGTTAGTCAAATGCGTTTTATTTAAATATACTTTTTCACTTTTTTGGTCTTTTGGAAAATGTTGTTTGTGCTGTATTTAGACCCCTCTACCAAGAAATTTGTTTTGCATGCACACGTATAAAATTTGCGGTTTTTATCCAACGCAATCATAGGTTTGAACGTTGTTTTCAATTTAGACTTATATATATATATTTATATATTGTTACCAAACATTATTTTGTTGTTGAAATATAAGTAGTATGACTATTTAACTTTGTATATTGTATATGTTTTATTAGTCCGTTGTTTACAATAGAATCAAACGACCGGAATAAAACCCTTTCAGGATGATCTGTTTTATCCACAATACTGCCGTAAACCAAAATTAAATCTGAAAAAAAATCAAGTACCGTACTTATAATTTAAAGGAGCGTGTTTCGTCTACATAAGACTCATTAGTGGGCTCGAATAAAAATAAATAGGGGGCAAAATCAATAACGAAGTTGAACAGAATTGAAAACCAGCAATTCCAAAACGTTATGCCAAATGTGGCAAAGTCTGTTTATGCATGGAGGTAAAAAAACAACCTTAGTAGTCAGAATGATTTTAAAATCAATATCAATGATATGCCATACCAGCACAAAGATGCTGACTACTAGTCTGGTGATACCCTCGGGGACGAACCGTTCAACAGCAGTGGCATCAACCCTGTGATTGTAATAAGAAGTCAAAGATAGTGGGCTTATGATTTAGAACGCAAGTTCAATTCTTATAATCACATGTTATGCTACAACTATGAATTTAACAGTTCTATCAAGCTTTTGTTTGTTTTTCTATGCATCATTTTAAAGCACGTGCAGTCATAGGCTGTTGTATTTTATACAGATATGAAATATGATGCTGGAGTGCTCCCGATTTTTGTCGGCCAAACAAATTTGCGAATTTTAATGAAACATACACGTAATGTAATTATAATACAATATTATTCCAATTTTTCCGCATTTTAAACTTGTTTATCTCCAAATAATTCCTATTTAAGGTAGCACAATACAAAGATTTTTTCACCCCCAATCAGACAACTTTAAACTGATGTAATTTCTTTCATCCAGCTTTAAATTTTATAAATGAGGTACCAAAAGAAAGAAGAAAGATTGATTTTTCAAACGGTGATTATTTCATTATGTCATGATTATTACATAATCAATTATTATGTAATTAGTTGATATATTGTGATGTCCACACTTGAATGAAATTAGCTTCTTTGTTATTCATACCATCCCAAAATATTTTATAGATTCTTGTGCAACACAGTTTGACCTCCAAAAGGGTGTCTCAGATTTTTCCTATTGTATTTCATTCTCTCATAAACCTTCCATAAAGTTTGCAACCTCAATTCATAAGAGATCAATAAATTAAATTGGGTATAAAATTTGTTCTATTGATGTTTTTGGAAATCTGAGACACCCTTTTGAAGATAACTGGTCAAGGAACAATATGTGTGAAAATCAAGCATATAGGGGCATCCATCTAGGAGCTAATTTCATTTAAAACTACATTTTCATGACAAAAATGAATGTGTCACAATTGAATAAATAAGGATTTTCCTACTTGTACCCCTTTAACTTCAATATAATTCACACATGTATCATGGGGATACTTCAGGATTGGCCTTTAATCAAAAATCAATTAGGTTTTGACCAGTAAGAAAGCATTCCAATTCAGCAATTCTAAATATATGAAGAAAATGCACACCCTATGCATCAAAAATCAGATCTGGCGGGAGATGTTATATCATTATTGACCTTGCTGTAAGTCAGTTGCTACTGATATGGTCAAAACTCCGCCCAACATGATAAACCTTTACTATTAATGATCTCAGAAGTTTAATTACACATTGCATTTACTTTTACAAGTATATTTTCAATATGGATTTTACTCTTTTAGTACATAAAAAATATATTTTGTTTTTTGCATTGTAACAAAAAGTAAGTTATGCATGTGTACACAAAATGATCAGTTGGTCAGTCTAGAGGATCCTTATGGGGGATTTCTAGAATTATAATTGTATACAGTGACAATATGGTGTTTTACACAAAGTAGATTTTTTTCATTTTTTGCAGTTTGAAAATGAAATATTTAATTTGTATTTTCTTTTAAAAAGAATTCATATTTAAACATTCTCCTCAAGAAATTCTAGTATAAACATCAGCAACATTTATTGTTGTACAATTATATTTGTTTAATATCTGTACATTTATATTTTGATTCCCTCTATAGCTCCAAATAGTTGTTTTGTTTTTTCTCCTGGCAGCTCCAATACAGAAATGTATTTTTATTTGGAATGCATTATCTTCATTTTTCCATAAATCCCTAATCCACCTCTTTTTCATAACTGTTATTTTTATTGCTGGTCAGTGGTCGTAAATCTATTAAATTATGCTATTGATTAACCACATAGTACTGCCCACATGTTCTTATCTTGTATCAGTCAGACACGTGCATTTGTTTATAAAACTAATTATCATCAAAACTCATTAAAAGTTCAAGATATGTAAATATTTTTTTCTTCTGTGGTTTTTGAATATTAAGAAGTAACAAAAACAGCTGAAAATGAAATTTTGATAAAATTTAGTTGCTTTTGTATTGTGCTACCTTAAATTTGCACTTCAATGTGTTAATCTTTGATGCATGCCAATCTGTTTGTGGTAGTGATATCCTCTTGAACTTGAGGATCTGGTCTAGTTCGTACAAAACAGAGTATTGCCGTGTTCCTGTCACATATACGGACGCATCAACATTATAACGTGTTATTTTCATTTTCTAGCAGTTAGTCGATACCACTGCTGGTGGACTACTAGTCCTCAAGATATCTTCAGTTCAATAGTTAGTGCTTTTTTACTGGCATGATTTTAGAATAAAACTTTCTTAAATTTTCCGTTGATAGATTTAAACATTATCAAATACTAAGGTTCTATCTCCTGCAGGCAAAGTTAAACTTGGATGGATTTGGCTGGTCTTTTATGGTCCTTTTTTGTCATATAGTTCTTTAAGTGCTTGGGCACTTACGCAACCTCGGCTTTCGATTTTTTGAGTTTGAGCGTTCCAGATGAAGGTGAATCCAGAAATGGGCTTCAGACTCATTTAAATTATAATGTGTTATTTTCAATTTCATATGAAGGCAATATACAAATGCACAGAGGTTGGTATCTACGGAATGCATAAAAACATTATAATAAAAAATAAGGATTTTCAAATATGTTGCCCCCGATCATCACTGAAGAGACATCTATTGTCGAAAGGAGCATTTGGTATCTAAATAAACAAAAGGAATGGATACAAGTTATAACAACTTAACATTATCCTATCCAAATAATAACAATATATGAAAATTCAAGATGACAGCAAATATATATTCAAGTACAATTAGAAAAATATATACAGTATATATAATGTTTGATGTTATTTGATACGAGTACACTTTAATATACATCAATATTAATCAAAGAATTGTTTAGTTTGGCTTATATAACTATATAGAAAAAAGAAGATGTGATATGTGTGCCAATGATACAACTCTCCATCCAAGTCACAATGTGTAAACAGTAAACAAAAGTTCAAAGTAGCCTTCAACATGGAGCCTTGGCTCACACCGAACAGCAAGCTATAAAGGGCCCCAAAGTGACTAGTGTAAAACAATTCAAACAGGAAAACCAACGGTCTAATCAATATAAAAAACGAGAAACGAGAAACACTTAAGAACCGCACCAACAAACGACTACCACTTAACAACAGGTTCCTGTCTTAGGACAGGTGCAAACAAATGCAGCGGGTTTAAACGTTTTAACAGGCACCAACCTTCACCCTAACCTGAAATATTAGTGTAACATTACAACATAGAAAGACACACTATAACATATCAATTGAAATGGCTTAACTCAATCAAAAAGACATGTTAACAAAAACAAATAAACATGCAATGAACGAATAAATTTGATCGATGACACAATATCAAAAAGACAACTATAACCTTGGACAGAATGGCGTTAAATAAAATAACGTACACAGGTAAATTTAAATATAATAATTGTGTTGTTAGGAGTACGGAGATATTTTTTTACAAAATAAATAAATTTGCTGTTCATAGTACGAGAACAGCAGTGAAAATTTATCGTCATATTAAATACTTATCAAAGGTGGTACATATTAAAAATAGTGAGACGAAATATAACACAAAATAAGTAAACATTGAATAACAAAAATGCATTACAAATTGTGTGATTACGATTTGAGAGTACTCGTAGTTACTGAAAGCTAGTTAAAAGCCAAAAACAATTAATAATAAAAAATCATGCATCAGAGACTAAAATCAACTAAAACACATCCCAGGGATAAAGTGTTTTAACGCCATGGACAGTCAAAGAAGACATGACTTGTGCAATGCCAAAATAAAAGTAACGACAGGCAGTAGGATAGTGTATATGTCTGAAAAGGATTTTGTTATGTTGAACGCTAATTTCTCCTGTTCCAAATAAATACGGTCTATGGAAATAATAACTAAGTGTTGGATATTTTCAAAAAGCTGAATTTATGTAGGGTCCTATCAGGCCGTATGATATGTGTTGTTGCATGGGTCTTTTATACTTTCAAAAAAGGTCAAAGATCTAAACACATGGCATTCTTGACCTTGAAATACATTTTAAAGAAACAAATTCTTTTCTCTATCTGTAACGAAATAGCTGTCACTCACAGCATGTATTCCGGGGATTTATTAAAGGTGAAGCAATACGGCAGATAGGAAACACAAGTGACCATGACTAACTTCAAAGAGAATTTATTAGATAAGGGTTGTGATAACATCGAAATGGATAATAGCATTTCTGGTGCTTTATCAATTGACCGTACTGAATTATTACAGCACAAAAATTTGAAAGCAAAAGAAAATATTCCTTTAGTTTTGATAACTAAATATAACCCATATATACGTAAAATTAAAAAAAACGCTGGCATTTATTGCAGTTTTACGAAGTATGTGTACAAGTGGTCGATGTGGTACTAATAGTTGCGTATTGCAAACATAGTGTAGGAGCATGCTCGTTAGATCAAAGTTAAAGACTATAATATAAAATTGACAGTTGGACCCCTGATAATGGCAGATCTGTCATAATATCTAGTGCTGACGTTTATATATAAATATATCAATATATACATGTATAATTTTCATATTTGATTATACTAAAGTAATGCATCTTAAGATGCCCATCCCAAGCTTTAACTGTCAATTTAA